AATTAGGTGCCTCGGCCAATCTTCAGGTTGGCTTATACTCAAGTATATACAATAATTAAGCATATGCCTGTGTCTTAGTTATCTAGTGCTACTGTAACAAAAATACTGCAACTGGGTGTCTTTAACAAACAAATGTTCATGTTCGCACATTCTGAGGTGGTGCTGTCTGTGTATGGTATACCACCCAGTTCTGCAACATTCCCACCATCATTCTTGTTGAGCCCATTGCTGCGGCCACTTTGTCCACCCATCCACCTTGTCAAGGGTCTTCCTCTTTTCACCGCCCCTCTATTTTAGCAAGTATAATGTCCTATTGCAGGGACTGCTCTCTCCTGATAACATGTCCAAAGTACGTGAGACAAAAGCTCTCACCATCCTTGCTTCTAAGGAGCAACTCTGGCTGTACTTCTTCCAAGACAAATTTGTTGTTCTCTGGACCATCCATGGTACTTTCAATATTCTTCCACTGCACCGTTATTCAAATGCATCCATTCTTCTCCCATCTTCTTTAATCAAATGCCCCACTTTCACATGTATATGACGGCAAATAAAAAATACTATGGTTGGTTTAGGCACCCCTTAGTCGTCAAAGTAACATTCTTGCTTCTCAACACTTTGAAGACATCTTGTGCAGCAGATTTACCCAATGCAATGTCAGTTGATCTCTTGGCTGCTGCTTCCGTAAGCATGGACGGTGGATCACGATAGCAACGCACAAGCCACCAGAGAACAGGCACGTGACAAACAAGTGGTGGCTCCAGGGGTGAGGAGGCGCCAAGGCTGCATTCAGGGTGTTGTCTCTCAGGGAAGATCCTCTGTTGGCTCTGGAGAAAGGGTCTTCCCTCTGGGGCTTTGTCTTCCTGAGGCTTGACAGCATTCTTTCCCAATCTCACCTTCCTTGTTTAACTTCTTTTATACCCCAAAGAGATTGTCCGTAGATGTGCCTTACATTAATCATGTCTCATTAACATAACAAAACAACCGAGTCACAACTGGGGGTGTGACCACCTATAAAAACTCACTGCCAGCGAGTTGATGCTGACTCCTAGGGACCCTACAGGGCAGGGTAGAGCTCCCCTTGTGGGTGTCTGAGTAGAAAACCTCCTCTTTTTTTCTCCCTCAGAGCAGCTGGGAGTGTGAACTGCTGACCTTACTAAAGGTTGACAGCACCCACCACAGCACCAGCGCTCAACCTCCGATACAGACAGTGGTGAGATTCAAGGCGCTTAACAACCAGCTCACTGCCCTAATGACCACTGCAAGTATTAAAAAAAATGATGCCACACAACAAATGCTTAAGAACAATAAATGAGGTATACAAAACTACATTTTTATCAGCTTCAAAATATCAATGAAAAATTAATAATACCTGGCTTAAAACTGCTATTTAAGATATTTCCATGTTGCTTCTTGAGTCGCATCCTCACTTGTAATATTCCTTTCTTTTATCCAAGCATTATTGGCTGTGTGACTTATCTTTAGCCATCTTTTCACCGTGAGAGTAGGATCCCATTCCTTTAAGCAGGCGTCCTCAAACTACGGCCCGCCGGGTGTTTTTGCCCCATTTGTTTTTTACTTCAAAATAAGATATGTGCGGTGTGCATAGGAATTTGTTCATAGTTTTTTTTTTTTCATAGTATTTTTTTAAACTATAGTCTGGCCCTCCAACGGGTCTGAGGGACAGTGAACTGGCACCCCATTTAAAGTTTGAGGACCCCTGCCTTAGAGCAGTGGTTCTCAACCTTCCTAATACCTGGACCCTTTAATACAGTTCATGGTGTGGTGACCCCCAACCATAAAATTATTTTCATTGCTACTTCATCACTGTAATTTTGCTACTGTTATGAATCATGTAAATATCTGATATGCTGGGTGTATTTTCATTGTTACAAGTTGAACATAATTAAAGCATAGTGACTAATCACAAAAACAATATGTAATTATCTATTGCGAAATATTTATTTCTAATTACAAATAAATGAAATTTTGTCTTGAAGCATGGTATAGCTTGGATAGCAGTCTTCACGCCGGGTACTGGTATGTGGGCGTATCTGCATCTGGGGGGACCTGCCTGGAGCGGTCTTGGTTCTAAGACCATCTGAAAGATGTGTTTTCCGTGGTCTTAGGAAATCCCTTTCACGGTCGACCCCAGAAGGGGTCGCGACCCACAGGTTGAGAACCACTGCTTTAGAGGTAGGCCAATTAAACAACAGTCATCATGTTGATATATTAGAAAACAGGGGACTTCTCTCCTCTGAACATATTAGTCCTCTTTAAAAAATCGCTTTCTGCTTCTGCTGAACTTACAGCAATTGTTCTGACGATATTTTTAGTTCTTTTAACACTGTCAGGAATTGCATCATTCACTCAAGACATCCTGTGGGAATCTGGGGTGTAACCCAAAGCACAGGAATGGCAGTGTGTCACCTCTGCTGATTTGGGACTTTTTCTCTCCAGGTTCCATGCTTATTTACTGAAGTAACAACTGTAAGGGAATAAAAATGTAGTATTTCATCAAAAGTATAATGAGTTTCATGAAATGAGAAAATATTATAAGCACAGGTCCATCTAGTTTTTATGCCTATGGATGGAATGAGTATTACGTATCCTTAGAATACTCCATTATGCAGATGAACATTAAAAATGAGTAAGGACTTCAAACTTCTGGTTTCTAACACAGGGTGGCTGCCAAGCCACCCACCTTAGAGAGAACTCTGCTTACAAGTGCCATTTTAACAACCAGATCTCCAAACTCAACAAAAAATTAGGTGTTGGTTCTGCCAAACTGGTTCAAGCTAGCTGATGTACATTTTTTTTTTGAGGGGGTGGACATAATTCAATCCTACCTTTTTAGAAAACCCTACTCCCCAACTGATGACAGCTCCTTTCTAGATTATGTTGTTACTGTTTCCCCGAAAGTAAGACATCCCCCGAAAACAAGACCTACTTACAGTTTTGCCTCTCGATGAAATATAAGGCATCACCCTGAAAATAAGACCTCCCCGAAAATAAGCCCCCCCAAGCTACCGTAATTCTGGACCCATAGCAGCGGGCACCGCCGTGCAGCTCACTGTTGGCTGCAGCGCAGCCAGAGCAGACAGGAAGTGTGAGGTCTCTTTTAATAGAATAATACATGTGTACCGTATTCTTCTTCATGGAAAAATAAGACATCCCCTGAAAATAAGACCTAGTGCATCTTTGGGAGCAAAAATTAATGACACTCTTATTTTCGGGGCAACAGGGTAGCTGCCATGGAGTTCATCCCAGGCTCGCGGGGAACCTGTGGGTCGCATGTATTACCGAGTGGAAGTGCTCCACGGGATTTTCTGGGCTGCAACCTTTATGAAGCAGTTCTTCCGATCTTTCTTCCTGGGGGCCACTCAGAACCCAAACCAAATGCACTGCGGCCAAGTTGATTCTAACTCAGTGACCCATTGCCTTCCAAGCTTCCCCTGGCCCCAGACACAATGCATGGTCCTGGGTAGATCACTTATCTAAGCCTCTCTTCATATAAAGCTATGTATAACAAATTATGTAAGTGTAATGCAAGAACATCAGCGATCCATGGTAAGGAAGTGCTACAGGAATACCAAGTAGTTCCTAGGGCTGCTAACCACAAGGTCAACCTCAGCCTCAGATCCTGGGATTGAGGTCATTTACCCATCTTTTCCCTCATCCATTTGTTCCTAAAATAGTTCTTTCCCCAATGTTACCTTCCGACAGAGAGCAAGTCACTGGCAAAGACCTGAGAGGAGTCATTTACAGCCCAGTCCCTGGGGGATGTTTGTTTCCTACTTCCAGATCTTCAAGAGTCAAACCTCCCCGCCTCACCCGCCACTCACACAGACCCCCACCCACCTCCGGTTTCAGCCCTTCATCCCCACCCCCAAACTCACGAGGTAGCCAAGAGGTGAGAACAAGAGCAGCCGCAGCAGGAGACACGCAGGGAATCCTGGGTTTCTTCCTTTCCAGGCAGTGAAACAATGTGCTGTGCTTCCATCTAACCCAGACACAGCCATGATAGCAGCCAACGAACCATGTCCCTTACCCCTTCCCCCCCAAAGAAACGCACCTAGGGAGTCAAAAGACTCTACAAGCAAGGCAAGGGGTGGCCTGGGTCTGACTCCTGCAGCCTTCTGGTGTCTCCTAGGTTGGAGCCTGCACTGGTCACCTTTGCTTCATCCCCAAAGCAGGGAAAACAGGACTCAGGAGGCTGGGTCTGCACCCTCTCCTGGTTCTCTGGCACACCTTTAGCAGCTGGGATTGATTTTAAGCTATGAAACTGAACATTTTGCTTCAAGGGCTGTTCTGCCCAGGTCATAAATGGGCCTACTAGTTGTGTGCCAGTAATCAAGACGTACTCCTAAACGTTCCATGGACGTTGTCACAAGCATGATGTCTTCATTAGGAATTTCGGTGGGCAGGAAGTTCTGGGGTTCCACCACAGGGGCCCCCAGCCTTTGGTGAGCATAATGCAAATACCTGGATATGGGGACTGAGGTCTGGATTACAGTCCAGGCACACTGTAAACCCTCAGTGAGTACTTGCTGAGCTTCACGAAATCTTGTTAAAAAACCTCACTGGTAGACATCGGTTGGCTTGTGACACCTGCTCACGCGGCTGCTTTTCCCAGAAGTGCAGTCCCGGCTCTGGTGGCAGGGAGCACACATCGCCTACTCGGGTCGGAGGGGCAATGAATGGCACAGACTCCACAGAGTTGGATTTAGATCACGCTCCTAGAAAACACACACACACACACACACACACACACACACACACACACACACACACACACTTTCCTCAGCATCACCTGAACCCTAGGGTGCAAAGTGGGTGGGCACAGGAAGCTGCTTTGCAGGGGTTGGGACCTGCTGGGGTCCCTCCTGAGAACTGTTGCTGAGCAAAGTGAATGCAGACACGAAGGAAAAGGAGAGGAGCTCTCCTCCCCGTTTCTGAGCCTGAGCCACGTGCTCTCACTTGGGTCCATCTGGGGAAAGGGCTACGAAGCAGACAATCTTTATTCACAATCGGGCCAGCAGAGGGGATTCCCCCAGGTCAGTCCAAAAGCAGATACTGGGCAGGGCAGATGGCGCAGGGTGGGACTCAGCACTCGTCCTCACCCAGAAGGGCATAAGGGTTTCGGGCAGCCAGGCTGGACCCTGGAGCTGAGGTAGGGGTGTCCTCATCTCCTTCCCCCTCCTCATCTGCATCCCGGTCTTCCTCTCCTTCTTCCTCACAGGAGCTACTCAGTTCTTCCTCTTCCTCCTCTTCCTCTTCCTCATCACCTGCTGGGCCCACCCTGCCCTGCAAGACCACCAGCTCCATGGTTTCTGGATGGGACTCCCAGGTGCCTAGGGAACCAGACCAGAAAAAAAAAGAAGTGGGAGGTGGCTGGGGCTTGGAGGGGCGGGGCGAGCTTTGAGGCAGGGACTCAAGCCAGGGAAAGGTGGAGAAGAGGCACAGCAAGGACCACCACCTGGCTCTCTGACCTTTCTGTTCGCTGAAGCCAGGCGGATGGAAACACAGGCTGAGGCGGCCATCCACCGCCAGCCGCAGGAGGCTATTGGCGGCCCTGTACACGTCATTGCGAGCCGCCTTGGCGGTCTTGTAACCACGCCTCTCTGCCCAGGCTGCGGAGAGAAAGAACCAAGGGAAAGGGGCCAGCCAACCAGGTCCCAGCCACCACCCCAACCCCTTATCCCAGCCCTTCCCGTTTCCCTGAGAGCATTCCAGGCCAGAGAACTCGCTGGCTGGGGGGCAGTTGCTCCTGGATGGCAGAATCTCTAAGCAGCAGCAGAAGGCTGGCAGGTCAGGGAGAGCCGCTGAAGTCAGGTGGGAAGGAGAAGTCAGACAGGTGGGACCTACCTTCACAGACATCCCAGGCACACCAGGCGTGCTCTGCTGAGGGGCCCACAGCCTCTGGGTGGCGCAGGCGGAGCAGCGCCTGGACGGGGACCCGGGAGGCTAGATAGCCCACGGCTGTGTATGGCTCCTGGATTTGGGCAATGGGGTAGATCCCTGCCAGGACCTAACAGAAACAAGGACACTTAGTCCTCCCCCTCCACGTCCCGCTTCTCTCCCAGTCCCCTGCTCCCTCTGCCCAAGTACCTGCAGCTGCCTGGGCAGGAGAGAGGGGAAGATGAGGCCGGGGCAGTCACAGAGCTTCACAGAAGGCGTGAGGAAATAGGTCTGAAAGTATCGGGTGTGGCCCGGCGTCCTGGACACACTCACAACCTTCCGCCCCACCAGGCCGTTGATCAGCGAAGACTTTCCCACGTTGGGGAAACCTGGGGCGGGCAAGGCAAGCACAAAGAACATGAGCATTTCCCGTCCCGGGGCCTCACTCGGCAGGGCTGCTTGAAGCCTCAGCCACTCTGGGCGGGGAGCCAGCTGAGAGGTACAGGTCCTGCGCAGGCAACTCTGGGTTGCCAGGTGAGGATCCTGGCGCCTCTGTGCACCACCTTGGTGACAGCAAGGCAACTTCCTGAACTTCCTCTGTTTCCCCTTCCACCATAGGGGTTATTTTCTACCTCCAGTTGGCAGGATTAAGCCAGACACCAAGTACCACTTCGTGGTGTGGAGCACGCAGACATGCATCTCATAATACGCACCAGTGATTCACCCAAGGAGAAGGGGAGAGGGCAAGCGCATGGCCTCCCTCCTCATGACCACCAGCACCCCTGCCCGGCTGACTTTGGTACAGCCTGCTGGCCACTCAGTGCCCAGGTCGCACTTCTAAAGCCCAGTTCTTTCACATAGCCAGCGCTACCTACAGTCAGGCACTCGCCAGACCTCGGCTTTCCCTGGTCTTGCCTCTCCCCCAGCTCACTCCCCTGGGGCAACCTCAACCCTATAAAACGAAGCTGGTTGCTGTTCCCTGGGCAGCTGAATGTGGCTGAAGCAAAGTAGATGCCCCCCCACGCGCCTGTGGTCCTGTTGCAACACCACAGGAGTACCTCTTTCACAGGAAGGGAAAAGAAGGCAGGGAGGGAAGGCGGAGGGTGGGAAAGAGCCGCCCTGGACAATCCCCATCATCCGGCTTTCTCTTTCCCCTTTCTGACTTTCTGATACAACTACTTAGAAGACAACTGCATGTCATGTCTCCGTGCCAACTTTGTGACTATGAACTATAACTCGTGAAAAAATGCACCAAACATCAACGGCAGTCTAGTGGGCCTTGGAAGACCCACCTCTGGGCCCGGTGGGCAGCCCCCTGCCTCGGAGACCCCACTGATCCATTCTCCTAAACAGATCCCATTTCTCATTGTTTTAGTCCTGTGTCCTGTACCACTAGAGTGTGGTCTAGCCTGGCAGCGTTTGCACTGTGAGACCACACACTAGGCAAGAGGCACTGTTGTGTCTGGATCCCTGTGTGCAACTGACGTGAGGTTCGGTCCTGTTACGGCACGTTCCCCCCGTGGGCCAACCACAGCCTGGATTTCGCCACCACGCCTACACTGAAGCCACAGACCTGCAGAGTCGAGCCCAGCCCACAGGGCAAATCCTTGCTCCCATCTTCTTTGGCCCACCAGAACAGGGGACACAGCTGATCTCTCCTTTCCTCTTCAAACATTTTTTTACATTGACTTCTGGGAGACTCTAGGATTTCTTCCTCCTAGTCCGAGCCTCTAAATGCCGCCGTGCCCCAACCCAGTCCCTTGGCTTTCTCTTCTTCATCTTCCCCCTCTCCCACATCCCATCCAACTCCATGGCTTTCAGTACCCTCCATCAGTGTCTCCCCATTTACATCTCTTCCTAATTCAAATCTCTTCCAACCCTCTCCTACCCTCCTGAACTCTAGAGCCTTATCCTCAACTGTTCATTCAATAGCTCCACTTGGGATCTTTGAAAAGATCCCAAAGTTTAACTTTCTGTTCCCTTTTTGGTTCCCTGATCCTCAAAGAGGCCTGGTGGCTTGGTAGGTTAAGTGTTAGACTGGTAACCACAAGGCGGGTGGTTCAAGCCCACCAGCTGCTCCATGCATGCAATGTGAGGCTGTCTGCTCCTATACAGATTTACAGCTTCAGAGACCCGATCGAGCAGTTCTACTTTGTCCTGCAGGGCCGCCGAGACTTGGAGTTGATGGATGACAGTGGGTTCGCCCTCCTGTCCCCTCAATCTGCTCCTCTCCCGGTCTTCCCAAAGGGTCAGGCACCAAGCCTGGACATCTTTCTTTTACTCCTCCTTTCTCCTCTCCCCTCAATGCAATCCACCAGCAATTCTGTTTGTTCTACCTGTCTCACTACCCGCCACTTCTGCCACTCTAAGAAACTGCTCTCCCCATCTCTGTGAGTGACTGGCATGGCCTCTGTTGCCCTCAGCTGCCTCTTACCAATCCTCCCCCTCAAACAAGCCAAATCCACTGCCATCAGGTCAGTTCCAACTCAGTGACCCTATACAGAGTGTCTAAGGCTATCTTTTAAAAAGTTTTTTTATTTAAGGTTATCCATTTTTACAGGAGCAGACAGTCTCATCTGTCTCTCATGGAGGAGCTGGTGGTTTTGAACTTCTGACCTTGCAGTTAGCAGTCCTATGCTACCAGAACTCCTTTGAGGACAGCTTAGTACAGCTTCAACGGCTTCCTTTGCTGGGAAAATTGATGCCAGCCAAGCCTGTAAACAACTTCAAGGCTTTGACGGTAGCTCTTGCCAGTACTGAGAGAGTTTATACAGAGCTCAATAGCTCAGAACCTCAGCAGTCGTAAAACACTTCCAAGAGAAAAAAACACTGAGGTGATTTAATACTATTGAAACAAGAACAAAGGTGAAGCACAGACAGTCAGAACTGAATGCAGCAGCAGTAAAGAATGGGAACTGGGAGGGAGCGAACGCAGAGCGCGGAGTGCCCCGAAGCCTGCGCAGATGGAAAGAGAGAGCACTGTTTGTTGAAAGACCAGGCCGTGTCAGAAGCATTCAGCACGGTATCATCCATGGGGTGGGCTTCCTACGATGATTTCTGAGCCAACAAATCTTTCATTGATTTAGCCCCCTCTGCCGAGACCCGAGATAAATGATCCTCTGAGTGACGGAGGTAGCAACTGCTACTTTACACTGGAAGAGCCCTGGTGGGGCTGTGGGGCGCGTTGGACTGCTTGGTAACTACAAGATCGGTGGTTCAAAACCACCCACCTCTCCTAAGGAGGAAGATGAAGCCATCTGCTCCCGTAACGCTTTTCGGTCTCAGAAACTCTACATCGGGTCACTCAGACTCAGAACGGACTCAGTGGCGTGGGTCTGGTTTTAGGGATTATTTTATATGGACTCTGCTTTGCTTTTCTTTTTTTTTAGGGGAGAGCGCACACAGCCCCCCACTACCACAAACGATGCAGCTGAGTTTCCTACATTTGGGGAAGTCGCAGGGGTCAGCACATCCGGAGTGCAATGGATAAGCCTCGCTCTGGGAAAACCACCTTCGTGAGGATCATGGTATCTCCCCTGCCAGCTAAGTATGGATTCTGCTTTTCAAAAAAGTTCTGTAACCATTAAAATAATTTCCTGATGAAAAAAAAAAAAAAAGGAATTGAGAGCCTGTCATTCTCCTGCTCAAAAACCCACCACTGGCATCTTATTAGAATTAAAACTTTAATGCCTTCTTCTAGTCAAAAAGGCCCGAGATGATGTGGCCCCTGAAGACCTCTCCAACCTCATCCCGATATTCTTCCCTGACTCCCTAACTCTGATTCCCCCAACTCTGACCAACCCCCAGCACTCCTGCTGGGCCCACAATCACCAAGTTCATTTCTTCCTCAAGAACTTTCCACTTTAGAGCAAATGTTTTGAGAATGATGAGGGCAATGGATATACAAATGTGCTTTACACAATTGATGTATGGATTGAGATAAGAGTTGTATGAGCCCCTAATAAAATGATTAAAAAAAACAAAAACTTTCCACTTGGGGACCAGGGAACCTCCTTACCCAAAGGCCCTTTCCCCCAGCTCTGACTGGCCACCTTCCCCTCATTACCCACAGTCTTTGGGGGCTTTTCCCAGAGGCCCACCTGCTCCCAGTTACTCTCTCATGGCTCTATTTCCCGTTGCCTTTGTTGTTGCTGTGTGCACTGGAATCGCTTCTAACTCCTGCGGCCCTGGAGGACAGCGAACTGCCCGCAGAGGGCTTCACAGCACAGACTGCCAGCTCTGTTCTCCCTCTGAGCCACTGGAGACCTGCCGACGACCTTTCTGTTAGCAGCTAAGTGCTTACTCACGGTCCCCCGGGGCTCCTCTCATCGTCCTGCAACAGTGACTCCGGGGCAGGGATATTTCCTGTCACTTTCACAGCACCCTGTCTCGTCCCTGGTACAGCACCCGGCCCTAGTAGGTGCTGAAGGCTAAGTGAATGAGAGCTGAGGGACTCCCAAAGTCCAGAACCAAGCCAACGCTGTCCCTGGTACAGGCCCTGAACACCCACCCACAAATGCACACAGAGGCCGACTAGAAGCCCCGTGTGAGCGAGAGCCTGGGGGCAGAGGTCAGGGAGTCGGGGAAAGCCAGGTGGCAGCGACTAGCAAAGAGAAATCTCTCAGCATCCAGACAGGTTTTTCCCAAAACAACACGAAGATTGAAGGCCAAGTCCAGAGCACTTGCTCCAAGAAGCCCAATTATCAGCTGCACTTTCTCCACTTCTGGGCTGAGTTATTTCCAATATCACCTCAGACATACGACTGTGGCAAGGTCTCACCTCACCTTTCCAACATACACTACTTTAAAAAATCACACCGAAAAATGGAGGGACTCGGGGCTCTAATCGGACATTCCTTTCTCCCCACGGTGGGCAGAGTGCAGAAACTTCTCCTTGATAATAGCCCTTACTTAGGACTAAGACCCAGGCCCAATACAACTTGACAATCACGCTAAGCTCAGTGCTACAGCTGAACACGAGAAAACACCGACTCACAGCCACCCGATTCAGTTTCCCAAGAGAGTACATATTTCCAGGGCCCCTTCCACTCTCTCGCTCAAGAGTAGCAGGTGGTTTTGATCCACTGACCTTATAGTTAGCAGCCCAATACCTAACCTACCACATGGCCAACCAGATCGCCTTACAAAAGAACAGTAGCATGCACAAAATTAATATGCAATGTTAATATTGCATGTTATACCAATATTATACTGTTAATTGACAACAATTATATTTATACAAACATTGCATATTCATATGCAGTATTATAAAACCAAAATCACTCTGAACAATGCTTGGTACGTGGCAGCCCCCTATCAGTACTACGCTCTAACGGCTTTATTTGTCGGGCATTGCTAGGCCCCCTCAGCACCATTCCACTTATCCTTCAGTCCACTCCTTTCATTAGGGATCGAGGACCTCAGTTTTTTCATCAAAGGAACAGAGACTCAGAGCAGTTAATGAATTTGCTGGGGGTCACACAGCTGGGAAGAGGTGGATTCATTCAGCAGACGGGGCCTCCTCTGCGTTGCCTCTTCGAAGTCCTGAGACCTAATGGGGCCTGATCCCACCCCTCTTTGCCAAGCACTGAAACTGTGTGTGTGTCTGCAATGCCGCTTCCTTACCCACACAGCCGATGGTCACCACCCCGTCCTTATAGCGCTCCCGAGCGGGGCCGGCTGGCTCCATGGCAGAATCAGTCTGCTGCTCCACCAGGACTGCGGGTCCATCGTCCTCCTCCTCCTCCTCCCCGGAGCCATTGCCCCAGGGGGCCCCAGCCACGTCCCGTGCAATCTTCTCCCGCCAGCTGCTCAGGTCTACTGCTTGGGAAGAAGAAGGCGGAGGCGGCTCTCCCTGGGACCAGCGAGAACAGTGACCACCCCCCCCAACTGTGTATCAACAGCTGATGGGTGAGTGCCCTCTGGGGTGAGCAGCCCAAAAGCCTCTCCTCAGCTTGTTTGTCAACCCACCCCCAAAACCACTGGCATTTCCCTGTTTCTACAAAGTACGGAGGAGACTGAAGGCTGCATCCCACTGAAGTGCCTGCCCACCGTCTTGCTATTCAGCCCCCATGACCCACAGCCTCTCTAACGCGTCTACAACAGAGGGGGGCTGACTTGCAGGACCTCCGGTCTCAGGTGTCCCATGGTACCTTCCGAGGGGCACATACCTTTCCCCGCAGTGATGGCTTCACAGGCTCTGAGCAACTGCTCCGGTCCCAGAGCCCGGGTCCACCCTCTCCCACGCTTCCGACTCTTTTTTAAGACTAAGGTCAGAAGACACAAAGGGTTAACACGCAGGCTTCCGCAGCCCACCTCTGCCACCGCCGTGGGACCCGAGCTCAGGAGCCCCATGGTTCACAAGCATCTCTGCTGTCCCCCTGGTGCACTGCCACCCCAGCTCTCCACGGGGCCCTCACTGCCCGCTCACCGCTACTGGGGTCCTGTGGGGCGCAGGGATCCCGAGGGAAAGAGGTGAACAGGACGATGTGCAGCTGGGGGTAGTGTTGGTGGAAATAGTGCTTCCAGGCAACCACGAGAGCCGGCGAGGCCAGGTCCACCTTGTTCAGAACCAGCACCAGGGCCAGCCCAAGTTCTCCAGTCACGTACTCATAAAGCGCGGGCGGGAAATTCACAACCTGCAGCCAGTGGGTAACGGATGGAGCAGTGACTCAGACACAAGGCCCTGGCAGGAGCAGGCTCTCGGTGAGACGAGCAAATCAGCCAAAGTGGAGCCGACAGAGGGGTCAGTAACGCCAGCGTTGAGCCTCTAGGTCATGATTAGGGACAGAGACAGGCCAAAAATGAGATAAGGAAACAGCGGCCCAGCACCGAGGTTCTGAAGGCTGTGCGAGCAGATGGATGCAGTTAGCATGTGTGTGGATATCACGAGGGAGCTTCAGAAGTTTTGTGGGGAAACTGGTCTCTCTTAACTTCGTTTTTCTACCAACATTTGAAAGCCTCCTCATAAATGTGTAGCCATGTATGCGCATGGGTGTGAAGCATGTGTAACTGTGTGTACATCTGCACGTAGGACATGTGTATGTAGTTTATGTGTCATTAAGGGACACTGACACAAATGTCCTCACAGACCTCTCTTTTTCCCTCTGAAGGACAATATTACAGTAAAAGGTCAAGATTTGTAAGAGAGTAGCCCAGGATAAGAACCTAACCCTAACTCCAAGCTGAGCATTCCAGGTGAGAGTAGAATCTTACAGTGAGTAGAAGGCACCGCTATGGCCCAGGAGCTACGGAGGAAAATGCATGTGTGGGTAGGGCAGGGGAAGTCCCTAGCTGCTTCCATAAAAATCCCTTGGAATTCCACGAAACCAAACCAAACTCACTGCCCAGTAACCCCACAGGACAGGGTAGAACTGCCCCTGGGAGTTTCCAAGACTGTAACTCTTTACGGGAGTAGAAAGCCCATCTTTCTCCCAAGGGACGGCTGGTGGTTTTGAACTTCGGACCTTGTGGCTCACAGCCCAATGCATAGCCATCATGCCATGAGGAGTTCCATAAGGGAACTTTGTGTTGGCCTACCTCTGGCGGGCTGGGAGGTGTGTCAAAGGAAGGGGAGAAGGGGGCCAGCCAAGAAAGACATGAGAACAAAAAGCTAAGAAAACAGATGAGTAAAGAACCGAGTCTCAGACTGCGGACATCAACACAGGGTGGAGTAACTAGAAGTGAACAGAAATGCCTGCCTATCCTCCAACTCCTGCCTCTGACCTTGACTCCTCAAAAGCCTTCCTCCCCTTGCCCACCTTCACCCTTCATACTCACTGGATGCCGGATATCAGTGATGAGCAGGACAATGTCAGACATCTCTAACACTCGCCACAGCTGCCTCCATGTCTGCAGAGAGAAGAGATGGTGGAAGAGAAGGGAGCTCCAGGCATGGTGCCCCTCCCATTCGGACCAACATGACCATGGGTCTATATACCCCACGCTCACCTCCAGGTTATGCTCAAAGTAGCTGAGCTTCGAAGAGGGGTAGGCCCCATGAATCTTCCCAAGATACTCCTGGAAGCTGCGTTCCTCCTGGCTCATCAATTGCTCCTTGGACATCTCATAGCTCCAAGGAGGACGTCGAGGGAAGTCTAGGACTGGAGCAAACAGCCAAGTTCAAGTAGGAAAGAGGAGAGTTTCAGGGCTCAAGGGTGTGTAACCAACTCTTCTCCTGCCGGTCAGCCCCGACCCTTCCAAATTCCTTTCCCCAGGGCATGTCCCGTGCCAAAGATCCCAGGATGGACCTGTGACTCACCTGAGTCAGGCTGATAGACTTCTCTGATGTCCAGCTCCAGTACCTCCGGGCTGACAGGCTGCAGCACTTGCTCCCGGGCTGCTCTCTTCCTCCTCTCCACATCCTCCCTGCTGTCCCGCTCAAAATGCAGCCGGTATCTGCGGGGACAGGGACAGGGCTTCCAGCACAACCCCAGGCCTACACACTCCATCCTCCCTCCTCTTGGGCAGCCTTCCCTCTACACTTGTTCAGATCTCTTTCCTCCACCGGTCAGCTTTCCTCCACATCTCTTTTCGCCCCTTCTAAAGCCAAACTCCACTCCCTCCTCAAAGGGAAGGCTGTGGACCACTCTGGACACGCCAACACAGCCAAGCCTCTACCAGCAGCAGCCTGCTCCCCCCCTCCCTAGCTCCCACCCCCCCACCTGCACTTACGTTCGGACTTCCGGGTGGACTCCAGCCAGGACCCCATCCCACACCCCCGCTCTGCACACCCTCACCGATTTGGGTCGAAGCTCCGCGGGCCCAGCCCCTGGGTTGGCTGCTGATTAAGCCTGCGGATGTGATGGGTCACGGACTCCCCGTCCGAGGTATCAGTCTGCTCCTCCCGCCGCTCCCGGCTCCCGCTGCGGCTGTTGGAACTGGAGCGCAGCCCATCTTGAAGCCCTGCGGGGAGGGGCCGGTTCTCAGGGGCCAGAAGACCCCCCACCTCCCTGGCTCCTCATCACCCCACTCCGCTGGTTTCAAGGCCCGATCTTTTGCCAGTCACTCGGCCCAGGACCCTCCCGGATGTGCGTGGGGGGGGCTCACCCCTCCTCCGGGGAGCTGCGGGGATGGGGCCCCGCTGGCGCTGGAGGGATTCCCCGCCCCCCAACTGGCAATCCTTCCCCCCCGCTTGCAGCTGCCGGGGGACTACAGGAAGGGACGCTCCGGGTCTCAGGCACGGGTCGCCGCGCGCCCCCGCTCCTGCGACGCCCCCCAGAGCCGCAGCAGCGGGCACACCTCTCCCTCCAGATGTGCAGGCGCCCGAGCCCCGCCTCCTGCTCCCGCTCCCACACGGACCTCGCTTCCGTTCCCGCTTGTCCTGCAGCTGCTTCTTCTTCTGCTTCACGCTGAAAGGCTTCTTCCTCGGCATGGCCCGCACCGGGACGCCGGGCCCGCCCTCCGCGGAGCTCCGGCCGCCTCAACTGACTGCCCGCGACCCCGGGCAGCCCCCGCCGCGAGGGCCCGGGGCCCCGGAGGGGGCGGGGCCGCCCGGTGACGTCAGCGGGCGGGCCGAGCGCCGGGCCGCGGCGGCTCGGGTGGAAGGCGGACGCGAGCCGACCGTCCACAGTCGCTTCCCTCCGCGAGCGAGACGAGCTGGCGGTGCCCCGGGGGCTGCCCGCCCCACGGGACGCGGTGGCACCGAGAGGGCGCCGCGGCGGCCGGGAAGGAGGCGCGCGTGGGAGGCTCGAGTTCACTTCGTCACGGGCGCGACCAACTCGCCGTCGGAAGAGGGGGGCCGCGTGTCATCAGGGCCTCGCGCGCCGGCCGGAAGCTACCACTCACCTGGCGGGGGCGGGGCGGGGCCTACCGCTGACGGAAGCAGGGGGCGGAGGGCGGGGTCTACCGCTGACGGAAGCAGGGCGGGGCGGGGCCTACCGCTGACGGAAGCAGAGGGCGGGGCGGAGGGCGGGGTCTACCGCTGACGGAGCAGGGGGGCGTGGACACGCACCAGCCACCTGGTCCACCCGGAGGCCGGCCGGTTGGGCTAAGGACTAGGGGCCAGGGCAGAGATCCTATGGAAAGGACGCTGCACGCTGCGCCGCCGGGACCCAGATTCTCTGGGAGAATGATCAGGAGCCGTTTCCCAGACCCAAGGAATGAGCGCGAGCGAGGAAGGCAATCTGGTGGTGCTAAAGGGCCTTGGAAGGCGGTCGGAGGGCAGGCGGGTTGTGGCGGCGGCCGTTACCATGGTAACCAGGGGACCGGAAGTGGCGGTCCTAGGATGTGACAGCTCCCTTCTCAGGCCTTCAGGCCGGGATCCTCAGGACTCTACGCGGCACGCCGCAAGGAACGAATTGTGTTGCCTCCCCGGCGGGAAGGGAATGGAGGCTTTTCAAAACCTTTAAAGGAAGGCGGCAAAGAGAAGGCTTTTTTTTTTTTTTGCATTGCTTCCATGCCTGGCAAAGACCTGAGGATGGAGCTGCAGCCAAGGAGACCCACAACCTTCCGGAAGTGGAATGAAGGGAGCCTCAGCCTTGCTGTCCACCACCTCCCGGAAGCGGAAACAGAATCCCAGCCGGGCCCCTTCCACACTGCCCTCCAGGTCCCACTGCAGCCATTGCGGCAGCCACGATGCCGAAGCGAAAGAAGCTGATTCAGCAGCACCAGCCTCCACGACCGCAGGCCCCACTGCCCGATCGCGAAGAGCTCGGAGACGACGACGACGACGGGAGTCCCATCGGTGAGGAGCCCGGGAGATGCTCATGCCTGTCAGCCTGTCTAGGCAAGGGGCCCGGGGCTAACAAGGTGGGGAGGGGACACCCTTAGGGAAGGAAGAAGGGTGCACGCCCTAGGAAAGGGGTCCAGTCTTGGTTGAAGCTCTGAACGACACGTTTGCTTACGTGAATCCTCAATCTTGGTCCAATCCCCAAACCTTTGTAGAGAGTAGAGACAGCCGAGAGGAAAAGATAAAGCGCTCCCGCGCGCGCAGCCGCAGAACAGCGGGGGACAGGGGCCAAAGAGGTCACAGATCTCGATGACGGGAATGATGCTTTGCGACCAGATTTTCCGCGAAAGGTGCAAGTGCAGATTCTCTAAACTGTTCTTTAGGATGGGGAGAAGATCACCTGGGATACTTTGAAGGGAAAGGAAAAGTTGTCAGTACCCTCTCCTGCTTTATTTTTCCCAGGGCTGAGGCTACTGTTTGCTAACCATGGCACAGCTTTGCAGAGGACGGACAGATGGGTGGGGTGAGAACCGGACAACACTGCCGAGAATATAGTTGGCTTTACTGGCTGAACTAAGGAAAGCGTACTAGAAATTAAAACGTGGAATCACGGCATCGGTCCTTTAGTCCATTTTGATGACCATATATTTTCGTGTCTACTTCCAGGACCACCGAGCCTTCTGGGCCCTCCTCCAATGGCCAATGGGAAGCCCGGTGATCCCAAGGCAGGTGAGAAGAAAGGGGCCCAATCCTTGAATTGCCTCCAGGAGAGTAGAGCACGGGAGGGAGTAAAACCTAGTAGGGACCAGAGATCCAAAGACCAGTGCTTCTGCACCGAGTAAATGGGAAGGTAGAGACTGTGTGTTTTACACATTGGAAACCGGATGTTTTGAAATGTCACTTCTCAAATTGATCTGTAGAGTCAATACACCACCAGTCAGAATACCCACTGTTTTCTTGTGGAAATAAGTGTTCTACGTCTTTTTTTTTTTAACATTTTATTAGGGGCTCATACAACTGTTATCCCAATCCATACACGCATCAATTGTGTAAAGCGCATTTGTACATCGTTTCTCAAAGCATTTTCTCTCCATTTAAACCCCCGACATTAGATTCTCATTGTTCTACGTCTTTATATACAAAGAATTTTCTAGTGCAAGACTGCCGAGACAGTCTTAAAGAACAAAGTAGAGGGGCTGCACCTCCAGGCACTGGGCAGAAAGGTGAGGGCCCCAAAGCAGACCTCCTCAACCAGTGCCTGAGACCCATGGCAGAGTTCTTTGGGTGCCACTCCTAGCAAGTTTCAGGGGTTGGGCTGGGGAGGGATTCCCACCCCTGCACCCCACCTGATTCAGGCCTGACGCTTATGAGTAGGCCTCAGGGGCACCTGTGTTTAAACCTCTCTGGGTTGCCTGAAAGCCTCAGTCATGAGCCGCCCCATGGCAGCTCTAGGTATGAGCAGAGCGTGTTTCCAGGTTAATGAGGTTAATAATGTTTTCCCTTCGGTGACTGAAAAAATAAAAAGGACTTACTTTGAATATCAAGACGTACTGTAAAGCTGCAGTAATTATGACAGTGTGGTATTAGAAGGGTGGCAGACATGTAAGTCAATAGAGAGAGTTCAGAAACAGACCTGCACATGTATTTGTAAAGGGTTCTAGTTGACTATGTATTCTGTATGGAGCAGAGAGAAAATTGACCTCTTAATCATAGCATATACAAAAAACTGTTCCAAATGGACTTGTTGATCTCTAAGTATGGAAAGTAGAGGAATAATTCCACTAGAGGAAACATGTTCTTAACCCCAAGACGTATACATGTGTTGACCATAGAGGAAAGATTGATAAATTGAATCATAATGAAGAATGTCAACTTTCCTGTAGTCAATGGCACCATTAAGCATTCAGAGGAGGCCCTGGTGGCACCATTGGTTGAGCTATTGACAACCAACTGAAAGACAGGCAGTGCCAACTCACTCAAGGAGCCTCAGAAGGTAAGATTGACCATCTCCTTCCAAAAGGCCAGCTTTGGAAACCCTTTGAAGCCGTTCTAGTTTGCACATGTGGGACTGGAAGTGACCTGAGGGCAACTCAAAACCCAAGGCAGCCATAGAGCGGGAGAAGCTGTGTGCAGCGAGTTCACCGTGGCCTGTGTGAAGAGAAGAGCTCTTCCGGACAGTCTGTTAAAGGGATGGGCAAAAGGCTAGAGCAAGCCCCTCCTCAAAAAGGCACCCTGAAGAGCCCATGAATGCAAATAAGGACTCAACATTGGTCGTCCGATAAGCACCACTGTTTACACTCGCCACAGTGCTCACATGAGAAAGATTGGCAATACAGTGGTACCTCGGTTATCGAACTCAACTCATTCCAAATTCATGTTCAAACACCCAAAAGTTCCAGAGCTAAACATATTTTTCCCAAAAGAAATAATGGAAAACCAAATAATTGATTCCTGGGGCCCCAAAATTACATTTACAAATCCATTTTTCCTGGATGTTTTAACAAAGTTAACAGCACTAGGTTACAGGGATAGTCCCTAAAACATCTAAATACAACAAATATAGTACATAAGATATCAAAACCATACAGCAAATAAAATGAACTTTTGTTTCATTTTGTGGTGGCGTTCAATAGCCCGTGGATTTGGGAAAAATAGTACACTCACATGGGCTTCACTTTCAAGTCCCCACTAGCATTCTCACACAACAACCTAGTGAGACTATCTTTCATAGACTTTTGGCTTGGCACTGTCTTTTTCTCTTTAGTAATGGCGGTCCTTTTCGGTATTTTTTCCCTAAAAGTCAAAGTCGAGCACTGGCTGGGGAACAAAACCCGCAGCCTGCACACATTCAGCAAATTCAGCCACAAATTTGTCGGCTTCGTCTTTATGTGCACTAGTCTCTTCCCCACGCCCCACTGCACTGTGTGTGCCTGTTCTCTTTCTGGGTTTTGCAAACCGGCCAGGACGGACTTTAAACTCTTCAGGCTGCTATGCGCTCACTCCCGCAGCATCTTTCATTAAATCAATCTGGAGGCTTCTCGCCTTCTCACTTATCACTGTCTCCGGATGCTCTCGCCATCGTGTTGCTTCTGGTTTATGCAAAGTAACAGTCATTTTTCAAGCTCTTTGATGGTCCGGGTTCTTTGTTTTCTGGTTACTGATTTCACACCTTTTGCTACGTTGGCTGCTTTAATCACATTTTTTTCTTCAAAAATGTTGAGTGTCGACATGTTGCATTCAGTCGCCAAATCAGATAAGCGGCGACCTGGTTAAAATTTTGCGATGATTTTTTTTTTTTTCAAGTATCACAGTGTCATGATTTCTTGCTTTAACTCTCAGCGTGGTCCTCACTGTTTTCCTCTGAGCTGTCCTCCTGGTATCGCTAGCTTTCTTTGGAGCCCCGATGATGGTATTTTACACCAATAAAGTGCTGCCAAAAGCACACTGACAGATGTTCTAACGCACTGAGCAAGAGTGGCGCTGAGACGGACATGTCACCCCTTTGTGTCATTGGCAAGGTGCCTGGCTCACTCTCATCCTGTACAGTCGGATTTTCGGTTTGAGCAAAGTTGTGAGCACCGAGCAGATTTGTTGCGATCTCCGCTGTTTGAGCAGTGGGAAGTTTGAGCTTGGAGCCTGTTGACAACCAAAGGATCACTGTGCCCAGTGCTGTTGCAGATCGGGAACAAGTGCCGGTGGGAGTACACACTGGTGCAACCGTTCAGAAAACCCTTAGCAGTGTCTATTAAAGGGGAACGTATGTATCTATATGCTCTGTGGCTCCGCAGTGCCTCTACTACGTATATACTCAACAGAATGCATGCGTATGTGTGACAAAGAGAAATGTTATCAAAATGTTCATCGCAGCATTTTTCGTTATAGCCCCAAACTGGAAACCACCCACATGCCCATGACCAGTAGAATGGATACATAACTTGTTGTACACGCACGCATTGGAATTCCGCACTGCAGTGAAAACGAACGCGCGGACTGCTACAGGCAACCAACTTGGACGAATCTCACAAACATGCTGTTGAGCGAAAGAAGCTAGACACAAAAGAATGCAGGCTGTATGATTCCATTTCTGATGCAAAGTTTGAAAGCAGGCAGAAAACAGCTGTGGTGGTAGACGTCAGGCTGGTGTTAACCTTTGGCAGAGGGAGGGCTAGTGGCGGGCAAGGGCACCAGGGGGATCTCTGCAGTGCTAGAAAACGTCTGGCTCTCCACCTGGCGGGAGTGACAGGTGTGTTTAGTTTATGATAATGGAGCTATGCACTTAAGATCGGGCGTCTTTAAGTACGGATATGGTGTGTCAAGAAAGAGTTCAAAGGAGCCCAGGATGTTTGTGTCGGGATCAAACTGGCCCTGGAGCAAACACTCCATCTCCTTCGCCCTCTCCCTGCAGCTCTACACAGAGGTCCTCCGGGCTCTCGAGGACCATTGATACCACCACTGCTGAGTCTCCCGCCTCCTCCCCGGGGTAGAGGCCCAATGCGGAGAGGCCTGGGTCCCAGGTTTGGCCCATATGGCCGTGGTTGGTGGGGAGTCAGTGCTGAGCCTCCTTTTCCGGGGCCGGGCCATGGGGGTCCACCCAGGGGAGGCTTTCACAGAGAGCAGAGGAACCCTCGAAGGCTCAAGAGCTGGTCTCTCGTCAAGAATACCTGCCCACCTACAGATGGACCCCAGATGATGGAAGGTGAGCTCTCCCTTTCAAAGCCCGTGTGTATGTATGTACTGCCCGCGCCCCAGAAGAATGCCCGAGACCCTTCTGTAGACATTTTCCCTTCCCCCTTGAAGTAGCTCTATTTCTTCTCCCAGCGTAAAGACTATCATTCCAACACAGCTGGAGAGGGGAGGGAATGGGCAAGCCACTCTCCCTCTCTGGCCCAGCTTCCTGGGACATGTATTTCTGTTGTTAATCAGATTGTAAACTGTCCAATTCTCACCGCTTCACAGACAAATCTGACCAACCCGTCTGCCGACACTTTGCCAAAAAGGGCCGTTGTCGATACGAAGACTTCTGTGCCTTCTACCACCCAGGCGTCAACGGACCTCCCCTGTGAGACTGCCTTCCCATCCGGCTGGGATGAGCCCCCTGGGACCTGTGGCCATACCTTCCCTGTGGCCCGGTGATAGCTACTGTGAGGCTCCCACGAGACACCCCCTCTGTCAGTGACACCCACCCTCAGCCAGCACCTCCCCATCAGGGTCCAGCGTGGGGTTTTATCACCGGTACACCCGTTGCACTCCTGCGATCCGGCCTCGGGGCCCCATCCGGGCGCCCAGCAGCTGCCTCCTGGAGCCTTCTCCCCCTTTGCCAAATGACTGCCGAACAGGAAACCTTGTTGGTGCTGTCTCTCGGGCATCTGTCCACCTGTACCCGGTCTTGCCCTCCATTCCCGAGAGTCCTGGAGCCGTTTCCCACCGTTCCCTTCTGCTGGCTGCTTTTCTGTGGCATCCCCCACCCCCGGTGTTGTCAGCTGCTCTGTGGGACTCCCCAGGCTGCCGGGCCTGGGGTAAGGGTGAGAGACTGCCACCGAGTTCCTCCCAGCAAGGCCATCCTCCTGACTTTGGGATTTCAGTTTCTGCGTCAGTAGCATGAGCCCATCGCTATGGTCTGTGATCACGGTGCTTTGTGAAACTGTGCGCCCTCCTCCGTGTCCGTGGCCCTTTTTGTGGCTTCCCCACCCTAGAGTCCTTTTTCTGCCAAACTGGGCAGGCTCCTGGTGCCCTTCGGACATTCCTCGGCCTTCCCAACCCGGGAGGATGGTGAAACTTCCCAGGAGTCTGCCTGCCCGCTCCTTCCCATTTCCCACCCCACGGTGGGGTCTTTGGGTCTGGCAGGCCCTTGTGGCACCGGATTAACGCCTCTGCTGGGCCTGTCCCGTCTCCAGGCCATGCTAGTTCAACTTTGTCATTGGGAGGGCACCAGCCCTTTCCTGGGAATTCTGTGAATCTCCACCGGGTCTCTCACCAGGTGGAACCTGGACCAGACTGTCTCCCTCTTCCAGCCCCGCCCCCATCCTTGGCACTGGTTGTTTTCTGTGAAAACGGCGGTGAACGGATGCAGTTTTGAACTGCCCCAAGGACCTGGGTCAGGGGTTATATGGGCAAGAGGGGAGGACCAGAGCTGTTGGAGAAAGGAAAATGACCTTTTCTGGGTTTTGGTTGGGGTTTTTTTTTAGAGTTTTTTTTTTTTTTAATATTAGTAATAAATGCGGTAGAAACGAGCATTTCTCGCATCCCCGTATTCCAGGCACCTGTGAAGGTGCGGTCCTTCTCACGTGCTGCAGACAGCATGTGCCTCATGTAACCCACGCACAGCGGTGACTGAGAAACACCAATGCTGAGCGTTTCTTCTCATTGGAAAACAAGCGGGTGCCACCTACCTGCGGGCATCCACCAGACTAACCTGCATTGTGTTCAGGTGTCGGAAAAGGACGTATTAGAGTGGGATACTGAAACATTTATTGTTATCTGTAGGTTTCGTGTATACGGAAAGGTACGGATGAAGCCTTTTCAAACCTATTTGGTAGGCATTGGGGCCCTAACTAGACAGTCAGCAGTTGACACCCACCCATCCCTCTACAGGAGGAAGATGCGGCTCTGCTCCCCCAAAGATTTACCGTCTCAGAAACCAAATCGGAGGCTTGCTAGGAGGCAGAACCGACGGCTCATTGGCAGCGTGTTTGGGGTGGTTGGTTTTTGTAGGCCAGGCACCGTACTGGACTCTAAAATAAACAGATCTGAAATCTAAAGGGCGATGCACAAGTACCGGTACATAAACGATCAAAAGTACTGGGAAGATACATGTGTACAAACGGGGTCCCGCAGGAAGATCCCACAGACCCGTTCTGAAGGAGAAGCAGGCAGTGAGGTGGGAGAGCAAGCCAGGAGCAAGCTATGATGAGCCAAGAGAATCACGGGTAGGCCATGAGGATTTGGCTGTTAGAGTTTTAATCGGCTAAGTATAAATTGAAAGACTTGTGATCAATTCATAAATCTATGGAAAGGAACCAGCTTGGAAGTAAGAGTACTGAAGGTATACTAGTAGCTTAGGCACGTCATGACTTCAGCTTGGCTGGTGGCAGTGGTGTTAGAGAAAAGGACATTTGCAGGGTATTGGGGAGTTAAAAAAGAAGTTTTTCAGTCTCGGTAGTTTGGGCTAAGTTCCATTTACGTAACAAAGTACTGTTGAAAGAACAGGGAGAGGGCTATCATTGGCTTTTTGCACTATTGCATCGAACTGCCCCCTAAACATCTCAGCAGAAATACTAAAGTGAGTACTGTAGGTGGCTATATAGACCGATTATTTAGGCAAGCTGGAGACAAATTTATCTGCATATAATGTGGTGGAAGCCATGAGCAGGGGCACATGCATTCACTCTACATGTTCACTAAACAGCTGCTGTGTTTCAATGTGTCAGCCTTATGTTCAATTGTAACAAAACCCCCAAATTTGTCTTAAAACAAGATACCGAAACAGCTGTAGAGTAGATGCTGACTCATCCCAATCTGTCCCAGGGGTTTTATTTTTTACAGTCTGTACATTTTAGTATAATTCATGTGCCACACAAACCAAAGGTTTGGCTCTACCCTGTTTCCTCGAAAATAAGACAGTGTCTTGTATTTTTGCTCCCAAAGATGTGCTAGGTCTTATTTTCAGGGGATATCTTATTTTTCCATGAAGAAGAATATGGTACACATTTATTGTTGAACAAAAAAAGTAAATTTATTGCCTGTATATGGTACGGTAGTTGTCATCACAAACCAGCATAACCAGACAAACTGTGAATCCTACATATCAAGAATTTCTTGTTACTACCATTATTTCCATGTACAACAATCTGTTGTTTTTTTTGTCATCATCATTTTCAAAGCATTTTCTTTCTACTTTAGCCCTTGATATCAGCTCTTCAGTTTTTCCCCCTCCCTTCCCCACCTTCCTTCCCTCATGAACTCTTGATAAATTATAAATTTCATATTGTTCATCATCTACTGTCTCCCTTCACCCACTTTTCTATTGTTCGTCCCCCTGGGAGGGGGCTATATGTCAATCCTTGTGATCAGTTCCCCCGTTCTCCCTGACCATCCCCTTACCCTCTTGGTATCTCTGCTCTCATTATTGGTCCGGAGGGGTTTATCTGCCCTGGATTCCCTGTGTTGCTGGCTCTTATCTGTAGCAGTGTACATGCTCTGGTCTAGTCAGATTTGTAAGGTAGAATTGAGATCATGATGGTGGGGGTTAGGTTTTCCCTTCTGACATACATTACCATACTTGGTATTTTCTTTTTTCCATAGAATGATTTCCCTGATAGAATAGAAGCAAACATCTTTATGAACTTTATTCAATGTTGACTGAAGAGCCTAAAGGATGTCTGGCACATGCTCGCCACCATATAAATAGATTTGTTGAGTGAATTAAGTCCCGCAGATGGACTGATCGGGGAAGCAGAATGGAGAATGAGGAAAGTTGTGCGGTTTGCTAACAGAAAAAGTCTAGCCAAGATGCAGGCTTGAGGCGTAAAACCAAGAGTTCAGTTTTGTATATGTTAACGTGAGAAACGTACTCTGTATTACTTGGGGACAATGTGCGAACGAAGAGGCTGCCTACTGCTGGACAAGTGTAAAGTCTTAGAGACCTCAAACAGCAGTATGCGGTGCTCTGTGTCAGAGTGGAGACAATGACATGGGTTGTTTGTTGCTGGTCTGTGTTACCATTAGGTCAATATCCAATGTCCAACGAGCAGCCAGAGCCTGGAACTCCAGAACCAACGTTGGGGTTGGTGAGAGACACGCGGGGTCGGGGTGACGGGGTCCCCAACACTTGAACAGCGACTTCCGATTATGGAAAATATTCAAGACAGGCAGACAGTGGGGCACAGGGGCTCCTCAGCTCATGTCAGGACTGAGAGAGAGAATGTATTTTCCAATGAGTGTCTATAGTGGGGCTCGCACATCTTTCATAAGGCATGCATGGCATACAGCTAACGTCAGACATAATCAACAGGTAATGTCATAAGCAGGTAACATAATAAACAAGCAATAAGATAAGTCAGTGTCTTGTCCTAGTGCTAACTCCTCCCCGGTCCTCCCCAGGGGGCTGCTACATTTATGGTGGGTTGGCTATAGAACCTGATTGCTTTTCTCCACAGAAAGCTTGTAGGCATTGTGAAGTAGCCAGGCACAGAAATGATTCATCTTATATGGTATCTCCTTTATGACAGTTCCTTTATGGGGGGGTTCCTGGAGGGACTGTGTCCAGTCATGAGAATGTCTATTAAGATTTATTGACATCTCATAACTGTGAGAGTCTTCCCCGACCAGAGTCGATTTTCCAGGCCCATTGTGATGAGCATGGCTGATTGAGCTGCATGACATTCTCATCCCGTCTCTCAGTTTACCACAACTTGGAAATCGACATTAGTTATAGTGTAAAGCACATTTGTGCTTCATTCTCAAAACATTTTCTCTCCACTTAAACCCCCGGCATTAGGTCCAAATTTTCCCCCTCCCTGCTCCCCCCTCCCTCATGAGCCCTTGATAATTTATAAATTGGTATTTTGTCATATCTTGCCCTGTCCGACGTCTCCCCTCACCCACTTTTCTGTTGTCCGTCCCCTAGGGAGGAGGTCACATATAGTCCCTTGTAATCGGTTCCCTCTTTCCTACCCATTCTCCCTCTACCCTCCCTGTTTTGCCACTCACACCACTGGTCCTGTAGGGCTCATCCGCCCTGGATTCCCTGGATTTTCAGTTCCTATCTGTACCAGTGTACATCCTCTGGTCTAGCCAGATTTGCAAGGTCGAATTCTAGTCATGGTAGTGGGAGCGGGGAGGAAACATTTAGGAACTAGAGGAAAGTTGTATTTCTCATCGTTGTTACATCGCACCCTGACTGGCTCGTCTCCTCCCTGAGACCCCTCTGCAAGGGGATCTCCAGTGGCCTACTAATGGGCTTTGGGTCTCCACTCTGCAATCCCCCCATCATTCACTATGGTAATATTTTTTTGTTCTGATGATGCCTTATACCTGATCCCTTTGACACCTCGTGGTTGCATAGGCTGGTGTGCTTCTTCCATGTGGGCTTTGTTGCTTCTGAGCTTGATGGCCGCTTGATTATCTTCAAGCCTTTAAGACCCCAGACGCTATACTTTTTGATAGCCGGGCACCATCAGCTTTCTTCGCCACATTTGCTTATGCACCCATCTGTCTTCAGTGATCCCTTCGAAATTTTTGTCGTGGAACAAGCAAGAAATACTTGAGGCTAGAGAAAATTCAGGTCGGGTTAAAAGGGAGGTCAACCGCGGTCGATGTTCCCTTCACCATCATCATGTTTACAATCCGCTCTGTCTGATAGTAAAGCTGTCTGAGTCCCTTGCCAGTACTTAGAAGAGACCTGCCAGAGGCTTACTCTGACCGCAGACTCTGCAGATGGAGTTTGGGCTCCCATGGTCCCCTACGGCCTTCTACAAAGTCAGCATTCACAAATTGAGCTCTGCTGCCTTTCCGTTCGTCACATGTGGATTCTGTTACTCTCGTCTTTGCTGTGCTTCTTCCATGGCGACTGAGTTGACTCCCTCCTCCCTTAGACGGCTACTTGTTTGAATCCGAGCCTTTGAGACCCCAGACACTATTCCAGTTGATCACAGGGCCCCATCTGCCTTCTTCACCACACTTTTCTGCTGCACCCTTAACTTAAGTGATCATTTCATGAAGGCCATGTTATCAGAACTCGCTGTTCTTGGGTTGGGGGTAGAGTTAAGTGGGAGTGTCCAGAACCCATCTGCTAGTCCAGGGGTTATGCTCAACTGTGGTTTATTTTGGCGGTCATAGTATGACAAAAGCAAAACTCTCCAAGACCAACAGCAACAACAGTAACCAACCAACCAACCAACAAAAGGGAGAAAAACAAAACACCAAAGAAACAAAAAAGAAAAACATTGTCAATCATCCCCCTGGGGTATCAGGTGATCACGTCCATAAGATCAACTATTTTTCCAATGACATAGAACTCAAGACACGGTCAACATGGGGTCTATTTGAGTGAAGTTCCACTGAGCTCCACCCCCTGAGTCGTTGCCCTGTGGGGTCCAGCCCCACGACTGAACGAGGAGATGACAGAGCAACTGTAAAAACAAGGAGACAGGAAACGGTATTGATCTCCAGTATCGGGACAAGAGCCTCAAGTTTATTCACCCGTGGGGTTCTACCCCACCTGGAGGCCTGCACGCCTCCAGCTGGCACGTGCTCCATAGAACGGGAAGCACGTGACCCTCTGATATCCTGAGCCCTTTAGGGGAACACTTCAGGACAAGTGGTGGGTAGTTAAAGAGACAAAAGGAGTAATCTCCCTTGAGGGGGAGGGACAAAAGAACCTGCCTGCCCTTAGAGGTAGGCATCCTTTAACTGCATACGTGCACACATGAGGAGCACCTGTAGGAGACAGCTTTATACTAGCATTTTAATGGAGGGTGCTGGGGAGAAATCTTTCTCCCTGGAGAATGTGTGTTTTCAGAGGTATCCATGGTCTCCGGACCCTGGAGGTTTTCCTGGAAACCCTGGGGCTGGTTTTCCAAGCCCTGTGGTCATGAGTGTAGAGAACAGGCCGCTGACACTTTCTTCCAGGTCCTCGGTTTCCCAGAACTGCCCCGCACAGGTTGCTCTTCTAAGGGATTGAGCTGTGTTGACACTGAGCATGGGGACTGGTGCCAGGGGAAAAACTTCCTAGATCAATTCTTACAAGTGCAGATCCCGGCCCAACAGATCACAACCTGTCATATCAATGCTCGGGGGCCATCAAGGTACTAAATGTATTGTGATTCTGGGTCCCTTTCACTGGACACTCACCAAGCCAGGGGTCCAATGACCACGACTTCCATAGCCCCTAGGTGGGGTAGACACTCTCTGCTTCGTCTCCCATCAGAGTATCCCCCTCCTCAGTCCAAGGTGCAGGCAGCCTCGAGGCAGGGCTCAGTTCATTTAGTTGGCCTCTATGTTGAGTCCTTCTGGTGTGGTCCTGCCATGCTGCCTGCCAGGCCAGTGTCCAAGGTCGGCATGGTGCTTAGTGTAAAGGTGAAGCTGAGGTACAGGGAGACGGACAGACCTAACTGACAGGACAAGGGAGAGCAGAAACAGAAATAGCTTTATCAGGGGGAGCTCCCGGATGAGGTTCTGTGACCTAGGCCAACAGGCCAGGGAAGTCGTGCTCAGCAGCTGGTCATGGGTGTTTAAAGGGGTGGTGAGGAATGTATGGCAAATAGCATATGGGGTCTGGAAATTCCCAGAATTGCTTGTTGACTCCTTGCTGCTTTCTTTGAACCCAGAGCATCTGGTTTCACCAGTTATCTTGTCTGCTGCTGACCTCTGGGGACAGGGATGGGACAGGGACATTCACGAAAGCACATACAGGGCCCTGACCTGCTTCAGCTCAGTCCAAACATTTCGTCCATAGCAGAGTTCACCGAGAGTTGGTGTGGTAGTTACATAATCTGGTGTCAATTTGGGATTTGAGAAGATTAAGAGTGAAGGGGTGGAGTCTAGTCTGTCAATCAGGTCATAGCCAATGAGGCTTCTGTGTGGGCATGGCCTTATGAGAATTCTGGGAAACCTGCTATTTTCCTCCTTGGAGGCGGCAGACACCTCTCTCCCTCTCTGCTCACTCCCTGGGAGACATTGCAGCTGACAAGACACATGGAACTACACTAGTGCCCTGAGCTGGAGAAGCCACATGGACCTACCCTGATGCAACCAAACCTTTGAAACTGGAGAAGCCACGTGGAGACCCCTGCCAGCAAGGAGATGCTTACAACGCCACTGGATCCAAAGACTCTCCACCCACTGGCCTGTGATCATCCTACATTCAGCATCATTGCATGTGTTTCCTGAGTCTAAAGCGGACGTTATAGATTGGTATGGGCTAATAATCAGACATATGGACTTGATCTGGACTGAGCTGGGATGTTTTCTCAGTATTCAACTTTCCTCTACACGAGTCGCCCTCGATTTGTTTCTCTTGTCCACCCTGACTAGCACCAGGCAAGCATCCAGAGCAGACTGCCCAGGGGGCTGTCTGGAGAGAGGTGGAAAGTATCCACTTTCTAATGTACTCTGCTTGAGGGCAAGAGTGTTCTCACCCCTAGGGAAGGGTCGGAAGGAATTCCACAGAAGGTTAATCCACATGTGGTTTCTGAAGGTGGATTTTGGACTTTCATAGTCATCCATAGCCTTCTGCAAACTGGGTGCTCGGAATCTAAGTTCTAATATCCTGTGATGTATGCTGGCAAACATACTTTTGCAAGTTTCATTTGCTCTCTCATGCCCTTTATAAGTCTGAATTGCTGCAAACCCTTGAGCACCATTATGACCTCATGCAAATGGTCTCCCTTGCCCATATACTGTCTCTTTGTCTTGATCTTGTTTTTTTTCCTGCTTAAGATTTAACTGTTCTCCTTAAATTATATCTGATGATCGCCTGGTTTGCAGAAGACTATGGATGACAGTGGAAGCCCAAAATCCATCGGCAGGTCTACACGGAGATTAAGTCTCTGGTGAATAGCCTTGTTATCAGAGAGCGTTGTAAAGTTGATTGTGTGGTAGATAAAGTTGAGGAACCGAGAAAGGAAAGGTAAGATACGTGAGGGTTAGGCCTCTAGTGAATGCCCTCTGAGAACAGATTGGGAATGTGAACAGCCTTGCTATCATGCACAGTGCATTGCAAAGTGGACGATGGAAGTTGGTTTTAAGGGAGCTCTGATGGCATAGTGGTTACACCTGGGGCTGGGATCCACAAGTTACGCCAGAGGTCCTCAAACTTTTTAAACAGGGGGCTAGTCCACTGTCCCTCAGACCTGTTAGAGGCCCAGACTAGAGTTAAAAAAAAACAAACTATGAACAAATTCCTAGGCACAATGCACATCTTATTTTCAAATAAAAAAACAAAAGGGGCAAAAACACCCAGCGGGCCACAGGTGGCCCACGGGCCGCAGTTTGAGGACGCCTGAGTTACACAGTTGGAAACCACTAGCCACCAGCCATTCCTCAGGAGGAAGATGGAGCTTTCTACTCACGCAAACAGTTCAGTCTTGGCAACTCACAGGGGCAGTTCTAGCCTGCCCCGTAGAGTCCCTATGAGTCAGCATGGGCTTGATGGCCGATGCTCTTGCAGTTTAACACCTTCTCATTTGATCTCCCTTTTGATGCATTTTACATTTGTTCTAGTCTTTAATTTTCTGCTTTCTTTTCGATTGAGGCGTCTACCTGTTTTACTTTGTTATTATTGTTAGGTTTAAAAGAATTTTTTTCTGTATATGAGATCCAGGACAGACAAATCTATAGAAACAGTAAATGGATGAATGGTCTCTTAAGGGTATGGCAGGGGAGGCTGGGGCGAATGGGGAGCTAATAACAATGGGTGCAAGAGAGAAGGAATTGTTCTAAAAGGGATTGTGATAATAATTGTACAACTCGGAGAGGGAGGGGAAAAATGAGGAGCTGATACCAAGGGCTCAAGTAGAAAGCAGGTGTTTTGAGAATGATGATAGCAACATATGTACAAATGTGCTGGACACAAATGATGTATGTATGGATCGTGAAAAGAGTTGTATGAGCCCCTAATAAAATGATTAAAAAAATAATTGTACAACTCTTCTTGAGATGATTAAACTATTGAGGTATATGTGCCATATACTCTATGAGGATGATGTGCCAATAAAACTTTAAATTTTATATTTGAAATTTGAGGGGGTTTTGTACCTCTTTGCAAAACCCTCCCTTCGTATAAAGATATACAAAGACCCACCATTGAATTTCCTAAGTGGAAATATAATTATCTTTTCACTCCATATATTGTTCACTATGATTGATCCATTAATAATCACTTTCTGCTTTCAACGCTGTACACTTCTAATAAAGCTGTTACCAAAAAACCAACATCAAATTCACTGACCTCGAGTTGCTGCCGACTTATAGCGACCGGATAGGAAGGAGAGGGTAGAACTTCCCCCCTCTGAGTATCTGAGACTCTGTTTATGGGTTTGTACTGTCGACCTCGCAGATTGCAGCTAAAGGCATAACCACCGTGCAACCAGGACTCCTGATAAAGCTGTTGCTTGTTTAGTAAAGTGAATGCAAAGCCTGACTGCACCGCGCTTTCAGCTCCTTGGGTTTCAGTTCCTCCTGCATACTTTGAGGAGGTGAGACCTGATTATCCATACACCTTGGGATTATGCAACACAGCTCAACACTGAACCTGCTATAAGGTCAATGGACCGCGTCCTTAACCTGGTGGAAGCGGTGAGTGAAAATAGGTCTCAACAACCATGAAAAGAAGCTCAAAAGCTTAACGTATATAGATAGATGCTCGACTCCTGCGTTCCAATCGACAATGACGAGTGACGCGGCGTCCAAGGGTCACCGAGGTCGGGATGCTCGGACGCGTCTCAGACGCGGAGGTAGCGGGAGGACGCCGGCCCCGCCCCGTCCCCGAAGGCCCCGCCCCGCACGCAGGGCACGTCCCCCGACGCAGGGCACGCCCAGACGCAGGACACGCCCCAGACGCAGGGCACGCCCCCCGACGCAGGGCACGCCCAGACGCAGGACACGCCCCAGACGCAGGGCACGCCCCCGGCCGCTGGGGTGGCCAGCACGTGCAGCGCCGGGGGCGGGGCCGGCCGCGGCCGCCCCGAGAGCCCGCCTCCTTAAGGCCTCCACGCCGCCGGAAGCGGAAGTAGCACCCGGCGCCGCCACTCGGAGTCCTCGCAACTGCCAGCGCGATGCCAAAGGGGCCCAAGCAGCAGCCGCCGGAGCCCGAGTGGATCGGGGACGGAGAGGGCCCGGCGCCCGCCGGTAAGGCTTGTCGGCAGAGAGGAAACGAGAAAGGAAGGAGACAGCGTAGAGCGCGCGCGTCTTAGGCTGGCGTCACGGCGCGCGAGAGCCGCCGGGCCGTGCGGAGCCTGCCGCGCATGCGTGCCGTGGGGCCTGGCCGCGCCTGCCCCGGCGGGGGTGCCTTGAGGGTGGGGGCGGAAGAATGGGTGCTGGGGTACCTCCCGTGAGCTTCTCCGGGGCCGAGTGAGGACACGACGAGGAGGAGCGTATGGTACCGAGGAAGAAATGGGGAGAAACCACGGCGGTTTTCGGATTCCGCCTCTTTGGGGCGTCTTCTCCACGCCCCGCAGGATTGTATAATCCCAGCCTGGTGGCTCTTCCCCCGTTGGTACACACGTCGCCCAAGCTGATGGTGCCGCCTGTTTCACGGGGAGACGACTCCTTTCTGGCCTTATTGAGAGGGCCCCCGACGGTCTGACTTCGCTAGAGCAGATGGGTAGATGCTGGGTGTCGGGATGGTGAGATGCACTGAAAAAGCAGCACCACGCAAGAGACACAGCCATTTACCCGGCACTGACCGCCTGTTGCGTGTCGGGCACACTGCCGAGTCTGGGAATGCAGAGATAGTCCTTGCGCCCTGCCCCAGCGGAGGAGACAGTGGGTGATCCGCAAAGGAGGTGATTCGTAGACTTGTCAGTGCTGGGACGAGAGAGATGAGAGTCGGGAGGCGCAGATCATTAGGGCAGAATAGCCAACAGTCTCCGCGATAGTTCTTGTAGGACTGGACACAACCACTTCCCATCTGGTAAGTATCAAACAAGACCTCCACGTCCCAAGGAAGGGAAGTAGCTGGGGAAACTGGAGGCAAACCTGGAGCAAACAGGCTCCCCAGAAGTTCACTAAAAACAGAAGACAGGGAGGGAGCGTGGCACGCTGCAGAGAAGTCTGGACAAAATCAGGTGTCGAGAACGCTTTTTGGACCAAGCAGCTAAACGATCAGGGGCTGTCGTGGCACTGATAGCATTGGTTAGATGATGGCACTGCGAATCGGATTGCAGCGTGTTCAGGAAAGGAATGGGAAATGCGGAAGGGGCGCTCGCATGGACGACCACTCTTTGGAGCCCCCGTGGGTGAGTGCACAGAGAGAAAATAGTAATTAAGAGGGGTGGCAGACTAAGGGCTTAAAGTGAGGCATTCGGCTCCCGTAAAGATTTCCCATCCCAGAAACACACACAGTTCTACCTTGAGTTGCTCCTGTGGTTCTTAAGGACTGCTGGTGGCGTGATGGTTAGATGCTTGGCCTGCTAGCTGGGAAACTGGTGCTTTGAATTCAGCAGCTGTTTTGTGGGAGATTGATGTAGCAATCTGCCTCTGGAGAGGTCTGCAGCCTTCGAAACTGGGGCAGTCCTACCCAGTCTAATAGGCTTGGCTGTGAGTTGGGATCCACTTGATGACAGCAGGCGGCGGCGGTTTGATTTGGGTGTTTTTATAACTTTATTAGGGTTCTTACAGCTCTTATTCCATACCTCACTTGTATCAAGCATATTTGTACAATATGTTGCCATCATCACTTGCAAAACATTTTCTACCTGAGCCCTTGGTATAAACTCCTTTTTTCCCCTCCCTGCCCCACCCTCTCACCCTTGTGAATCCTTGATCAATTATATATTGTTATTAGTATTTTGTATCGTACACTGTCCGTTGTCTCCCTTCACCCACATTTCTATTATTTGTCCTCTTTCGGAGGGGGGGGCGCTACATATCCAGACAGTAGGCTTTTTGTTTGTTGTTTTAAGATAAAGCAGGAGACCCTGGGAGGTCCGGACAGAAAGGTTGGCAGGTCAAGTCTCCCCAGTGGTACCTTGAAAGAAAGGCCTGGTGTTCTCCGTGGGGGTGGGGGGGAATTGCCAACCCTGTGGAGCACAGCTGTATGCTCTGACACACGTGAGGGTGCCATGCGTCAGGGTTGGTGTAATGACAGTTGGTTTGGGCTACCTCTTGAGGAGGAATTGGTGTCTAGGATAAGTCAGGGTGAGCTGGCTATGCCGTTCCTTCTTAGGTATCTCATTGGGCCTTCCTTAGTGATTTCAGGATGAAACTCCTTGGAACAGCCTCATTCTGTGTCTTCTGGGCATCTGTCAATGCCATGGCACTGAGTCCCGTCAACCAGTACTGGGCTTAGGTTTCAGAGTGTGTTGTGGGGGGAGGACACGGGAAGCAAGCCCGGGAGGAGACAATCCAGAGCAGAGGTGTGGGTAGGGCGACTACAGGCACAGAAGGAAAGGTAGAACTGTTTCAGTCCATAGGGACTGCCCTTCGTGGTCCCCAGTGTCTGGCATCACAGATGCTCAGTCAAACTTGATGAAGTGATGACATCAGGCTTGGCACACAGGAAGACCCCTGGTGAGATGGGTTGATAGGGTGACTGCAACAGCAAGCTCACACATCGCAGTGATGGTGAGGATGGCACAGGACCACAAAGGGTCCTTAGAAGCTGGGACTCCCTGGACGGCACCTAACACCAAGTAATAGAGAATTCCCGTCTGCAGAGATTATACTTAAGGTGGTAGGCAGTGGGGACCACAGACTCTTTGTTTGTTTGTTTTGAAGTCTAATGGTTATAGGAATGCTTTTGGATGGAATCAGGTAGCAGTGGATGAGATTGTTTAGAGAGGAAGATGTGGGGAGGCCTGGACAGGAGAAACCAGGAGGGTGCAGGCTGCTGCCTCTGCCTGAGTGTGGGGTGGGGGTGGGGGTGGGGAAGTATGTAGGGTCTCCTGCATGTAGGGAAACGGGAGGGGAGGAAGGAGCTGGAATTTGTTCAGTCAGTAACCTTACTGATTTCCTGCATCGCTCCCTGGGACCACAACAGACTAAACTGTCTCAGGTTGTTCTCTTGACTGAAAGCTGTGTACATAGTCAAAGAGCTAAACAGCCATCCTGTGGGAGCTTGCGTGTATGAGCAGAACAGGTGGGCCATGGTCCCACGGGCTCACTTTCTTACTTACTACACAGCACTGGCTTGGACTGCGACATCGCAAACAACAGAATTCCAAACCATTCGTAAAACCTTCCCACCCTTCCTTTCTGGGCAGGGAGGGGGACCTTTCTCTTCCTTTGTTTTTTTCCTGCCCTAGTAAATGGTACCACTGGAGCAGCTAATGTTGCTCCCACCTCTGTCCCCACCATCTGAAGCCTGCTACTTCCCCCACCCGCCCCCTCTTCTGTCTGTTTCCTGGGTTGTCCTGCTGGTTTTGCTCTGTACTTGGCCCGCGCACGTGTGGCAGTGCAGGCGTCATTGTGCCAGATGAAATCCCCATCTCGTCACCTGACTTCGCAGGCCCTGCATACCAGCCTCCCCGTGCCCCACTCTCCTTCTGTCTCAAAGTGTTAGCCATGCAGAACCTTTTCTTGCCCTGCCCCGTGTGCTCTTGCCGACACCTGGCCACGCCATCAGCTGTGTGGCACTCGGACTGGCCTGGTGCTGGCTGCTCCGTGCTTCGCATGCTCGGGGCCCGTGTCTTCAGATCGGACTGGCCCCCAGATGAGGCCAGCCCCGAACCTTCTACCCCTGTGGTGGCACGCCTGCCCTGCTCTGCCCTTTGGGAACATTCAGCACACTTGTAAGCGGGCTGTTTAAAAATATCTCGTCAAAGACTGTCAGCTCCAGAGAAATCCTCAGTCGTCGTCTTAGCTGACTGCTTTGTCCCCAGTGGCGCCCAGTAGCTGCTGAGGAAATATTTGCTGGTTTCTGAGCAGAGGGAGGAAGGGTTCTTCCTACAGGAGCTGTGGAGCCGCACCCGTGTCTAAGGAGCAACAGTTGGGCTGGAAAAAGCTCAACTGGGTGGAGGCCAGTGAGCGATTGGCAAGAACAAGCAGGCCACTCTGGCAGTTGTAGACAAACACCCTTGACCGTGTCTGCTTAACCTTCCAGAGAAAGTGGTGAAGAGAGGGAAGAAAGACAAGAAGACCAAAAAGACGGTGAGGAAATGAAGGGTGGGTGTAAGAGACGATGCTGGGCCTTTCATGCTCATCAGAGAGCCCTGGAAAGGAGGTGGGCGGGCCCACGGAGGAGAGGTCTTGTAAAAAGAGGGTGCAGGGTCCTGCGGGGAGAGCATCGTAGATGAGTGGTTTCAACTATTGAATGCAGAGGGGATGGTCTGAAATGTAAACTCCCCCCATCTAGTTCCCAATTAAAAAAAAAAAAAAAGGCCAGGGATGGGTTGACGGGAGAGTTGATAGGTCTGTGTATGGCAGAAAAGTGCTCCCGTGGTCTCTGAGCCGTGTCTCCTGATGTCTCGATTCCCTGCACAGTTCTTTGAAGAGCTGGCGGTAGAAGATAAGCAGGCTGAGGAAGAAGAGAAGGCTCTTAAGGAGCAGCAGCAGCAGCAGCAGCAGCAGCAGGTACAGGGCTGATGAGACAAATCAGTCCCGGAGCATCTTGGACCCGCGGAGCCCAGCCCAGCCCTCCTTGGTCACTCAGCTGCTGCCGGGCTCTCCCGAGCGGAGATAAAGTAGTAAGGGCCTGGGCCTGGCTTCATTCTCTTTGCTTTCGTTTTCTTTCAGCAACAGAAAAAGAAACGAGACACCCGGAAAGGCAGGCGGAAGAAGGATGTGGACGATGATGGCGAGGAGAAAGAGCTCATGGAGCGGCTTAAGAAGCTCTCGGTGCCGGCCAGCGATGAGGAGGGTGAGAGTACGTGACCTGAGTCACAGAGCGTGATGGGGCCTCGGGTCTCGGGGGTTGGGCTTGATGTAGGAGTCAGACATTGTCCTGCCCTTTCCGGTCTCATTCGCTCTCCTACCCTTCTAGCACCTGTCCCGATACCTCGCGGAGGGAAGAAAACCAAGGTGAGCCCTCCGTTGGTCTCAGTGTGGTGAGACTCCGGGGGTTCAGGCTGGACCTGGACTGTCCTACTGATGGCTGGCTCCTGCCCTTTTGTGCTCTAGGGCAGCAATGCCTTCGCAGCACTGACCCAGGATCAGAGTGAGGAAGAGGAGGAGGAGGAAACATGTCCTAAACCTGCCAAGCCAGAGAAGAACCGGGTCAATAAGGTGACGATGCGCCGGTCTGCCCATCTCTCCACCCGCCGAGCGCCTCTGGCCACAGTGCTCGGCTTCCCTGCGCTCAGCGCCAGCTCTGCTAGGTCTGCCTGGCGTCTGCTGTCGAGCTCCTCTCTCATCCTGTTTGTTGCTCAAAAACCTGCAGTGATTGTTGGTCCCGAACTGAAAGTCTAGACCAGAGCATTACGTCTTTGCTGTTCCACTGGGCCCCTGCAGTCTTCGCGAGACACTTGGTTGTATATCTCTGAGGTCAGCCCGGCCACGTTTCCACATCCAGGTTGGCTCTCTTGGTTGAGGCCTTTGGTCCTGAAGCTTTTTGTTTGTGCTTCCCTAGAAGGCCTGCTCCAGGGCTGGGTCCATTTCCTTGGGATCTGCCCCCTCTCAGGGCAGCCTTCTAAGCACTAGCTTCTCTCCCACCCACCGCTGCTCAGTTACTTGCCTTACAGTGCCTAGGTTCTTGACTCTGTTTACGGTCTCTGGTTTTGTGTGGGCTTCGCCCACTGGGTCTCAGGCCCGAGGCTCTTTTTCTGGTCTCTGTTTCTTAGACAGTGTTAGCCTGTTAATTTGAACTTACACACACTGTAGAAAAGCTTGTTAAGCAAGAAGGTAGCAACTTCACTCTGGGCTTCTCCAGGCGGTATCTGAAGAGCAGCAGCCTGTGGTCAAGGGCACAAAAGGAAAAGAAGAAAAGTCCAAGGGGAAGACCAAGGTGAGGGAGTAATTGGTGAGGCGAGGCGTAAGGACGTGGGAATTAAGACCTATCTCACCAGACCTCCTCTCGTCTCTCTTAGCCTCAAAATATATTTGCCACTCTGGACAGTGGAGGGGAGGACGAAGAAGAAGTAAGAGAGAAACTGCCCAAACAAGGGAAGGAGAAGGAAAAGAGCAAGAAGGTGGGGAAGGTGCACCCCTGGGGCTTGGCTGGGAGGAGGAGGAGGAACAGGGACTCAGGAATGGGAGAGTCATAGGGGATGGTGTTCGGAAAAGGGCCAGAGAGGGGACCCGTGTGAATCCTGTCACTCTTCATCGCCTCGGCACTCTGGTGGTGGTGTGGTTACACGCGGGGCTGCTAACCCCTGCAAGGTCAGCAGTTGGAAACCACCATAGAAGATGAGGCGCTCTGCTCCTGTAAGCAGTCTTGGGAACCCCCAGCGCCCCAGAGGGTCGCTGTGCATCGGAGTAGCCTCGATGGTAGAGTTGGTTTGAGGTTTTGGCGTATGAGAAATGTAAAAAAAATTCTCATACAAAACAGGTCGTACAGAAGCAGGCTCCACGTCAGATTTGCCACCCCTGGTGTAGACAGGAAAGGGCCCTGCAGTCAGCCTCAGGTGATTGGGGTTGCGGCTCTGCCCCGTACTCGGTGGCCTCGAGCATGCCTCTCTGCCTCAGTGGCCTCATGGAAGAGACGAGGGCTGGTCCCCAGGAGGCCCTCTAGAATTCTGGCACTTCCTGCTTCAGCTGGGCTTCTCAGTAGCTGTGTAATTGAGCCCCCTGCCACTTTGCAGTACCTCCTGGGGCCACTGCCCTGGTCGGGAGTGTGCAGAAAAGAGCCCTGTGTCAGGGCAGCGTTATCCAGGGCTGCATTGTAGCCACGCACCTTCACGCTGTTCGTGGCGGCAGAACTTAGAGCAGGCTCTGAGGACAGCGGTGGGCGGGGTGGAAGAGAGGGCCTCCGCCACCACAGCAGGCCTTGGGATAAGGGGTGGGTGTAAAGAAGGCAAGAGCTGACTGGGCTGGGAGGGTCATTGAAACCCGAGTTCTAGAAGGGACCCCTAGTTCTCACCACCCTCTGGTTCTCACAGGGCTCTGAGGAAGATGGGGAGGAAGATGGGGAGGACGACGGGGAGCCCAAGGCCGACGATCCTTACGCTCAGCTTAGCAAAAAGGAGAAGAAGAAACTGAAGAAACAGGTAAGGCCTCGAGTTCTTAGTGGTCCAGGGCAGAGGGGCTTGGTGTTTGTTTCTGCGCTTCACCTGGGGGCATTTATGTGCGTGTGGGGGCAGGAGGGGGACAGCGTGGGGGCAGAGCCGGCCGGGGCTGTGAGGCTGTCAGCGTCTGGGTGTCTCGGTGACGAGACGCTGGCAGGCACCGGGCTCAAGCCCACTCTTCCTTTCCCAGATGGAGTACGAGCGCCAAGTGGCTTCATTAAAAGCAGCCAGTGCTGCGGAAAATGACTTCTCTGTGTCCCAGGCAGAGGTGTCCTCCCGTCAGGCCATGCTAGAAAATGCATCTGACATCAAGGTGAGTTCTGAGAGGCCTTCCCTCCGGGTCCCGCGTGGTTAGAAAGCTCGGGAACAGTCTCCACACCTTGGGTTCTGCCAACCTCAGGGAGGGTAGTAAAACCAGGGAGGAAAAGGGGGTGGCTCTGAAGTAGGGTGGGACAAGCGAGACTGGCTTTGGACTTGGGACAGGTCCGCTGCTAGGGACAGCGGACGGGGAGCAGGGTTGGCGGGGCCCTGGGCTCCGCAGCAGGCTTCCCTGGGGGGAGGAAGGTGCAGCTCTTCTCCCTGAAGAGAAGGCTCAGTGCTCCTCCCTGCCCTCTTCACCTTCCCCCCCGGACGGACGGACGGGCGGCTGCAGCTGGAGAAGTTCAGCATCTCGGCCCACGGCAAGGAGTTGTTCATCAACGCCGACCTGTACATCGTAGCTGGCCGCCGCTACGGGCTCGTGGGGCCCAATGGGTGAGGAGAGGAGGCCTGGGGTACCCGTGGGAAGGGGGCTGGAGGGGGAGAAGCCATTCGTTGGGTGTGTGGCCCAGCACTAGGAGCTCTCCTTCCCCAGCAAGGGCAAGACCACTCTTCTCAAGCACATCGCCAACCGAGCCCTGAGCATCCCCCCCAACATTGACGTGCTGCTGTGTGAGCAAGGTGAGCTAGCCGCTGGAAGGGGACCTGGGGGGGGAGGGGGGCGTGAGGGGAAGAAGAAGAGACAGGCAGGTCTGTTGCAGAAACGGGGTAGGGAGCTGGAAAGGAGAAGCGAGGATCGCTGCAGAAAGGCCGGGAGGTGGGAAGCGGGAGACCTGTAGATACTCTATTTGAAACAAGTGCAAGGCTGGGGGCAAGGACAGCCAAACCGGAAGGGGAAGCCAAAAGGGAGAGGAGGCAGGAACTTTGGCCCCTGGGGTGGCCTGACTGCTGCCCCACCGCCATCCCCCTCCCCAGAGGTGGTTGCGGATGAGACGCCAGCAGTGCAGGCTGTGCTTCGGGCCGACACCAAACGACTGAAGCTCCTGGAAGAGGAGCGGCGGCTTCAGGGGCAGCTGGAGCAGGGGGACGACGCGGCTGCCGAGCGGCTGGAGAAGGTAGAGGAGATGGCGCAGGGGACACGGGCGGAGACTGGGGCTGGCTGGGGTCCTCCAACATGTGTCCTCTTCTCCCTCCTCCCAGGTGTATGAGGAGTTGCGAGCCACAGGGGCGGCAGCTGCAGAGGCCAAGGCCCGGCGGATCCTGGCTGGTCTGGGCTTCGACCCAGAAATGCAGAACCGGCCCACACAGAAGTTCTCTGGAGGCTGGCGTATGCGTGTGTCCCTGGCCAGGTGAGCCACTCGGCTGGTGTGAGACCTTTGTTGCCTCCAGCTCGCTCCCTGGGCGTCTTGGGGACCTCTGCTGCCCCGTAACTCCTGAGGTCAGCTGCAGGGCGCGCACTGGGGCCTCAGGCTCTGCCTGCCTGGGCTCCTGGGGCTCAGCGAGCAAGGCTTTTCCTCGCCGTGGACCCTCTTGGCCTCCCTGCTGCCCCCTAGGGCCCTCTTCATGGAGCCCACGCTGCTGATGCTGGACGAGCCCACTAATCACCTGGACCTCAATGCCGTCATCTGGCTCAACAAGTGAGTCATCCCCTGGTCTGTTCGGCATCAGTTTCCGTTCTGCGGTTCCAGTCCCTTTGTCCCTGACAGCTCCTGCTCCAGTCCCTGCCCCTGCTTTTCTGTCTGGCACCCTGAGCACCTTGACTCTGCCCCCACCCCTTCTCCCAACCGCAGCTACCTCCAGGGCTGGCGGAAGACGCTGCTGATTGTCTCCCACGACCAGGGCTTCCTGGACGATGTTTGCACCGACATCGTCCACCTCGATGCCCAGCGGCTCCACTACTACAGGGGCAATTACAGTAAGGGCGACTGCTGGCTGTGGGGCAGAGGGGCCTGGGAGAGGGACGGAGGGAGGCCCTAAGTTGTGTCCATGAGCCAGGTCTTAGCGGGACTCAGAGCCATGATGCCTGCCCCCATCTAAGGCCCTGGTGGCCCCCCTGCTGGGAGGGCAGCCACTATTGACCCCCACCCCGTCTTCCCCAGTGACCTTCAAGAAGATGTACCAGCAGAAGCAGAAGGAACTGCTCAAGCAGTATGAGAAGCAGGAGAAGAAGCTGAAGGAGCTGAAGGCGGGCGGCAAGTCCACCAAGCAGGCAGTGCGTCCCCGGGGCGGTGACCTCCCTTCTCCTGAGGAAGGAGCGGGGCTGTGGGCTGCAGCTGCTGGGCAAGGCGCAGTGTTCTCTTCCTTTTTCCTCCAGGAAAAGCAGACAAAGGAAGCCCTGACTCGGAAGCAGCAGAAATGTCGACGGAAAAACCAGGATGAAGAGTCCCAGGAGGCCCCCGAGCTTCTGAAGCGCCCCAAGGAGTACACTGTGCGCTTCACGTTCCCGAACCCGCCGCCCCTCAGCCCTCCAGTGCTGGGCCTGCACGGTGAGTGGCCTCTCTGAGTCCACCGAGGCCTGGCCACCAGGGCCTGGGGGTGACCCTGGGAAGGACGTCAGCGCTGCTTCTCCTAACTGCAGGTGTGACGTTTGCCTATGAGGGGCAGAAGGCGCTCTTTAAGAACTTGGACTTTGGCATCGACATGGACTCCAGGAGTGAGTGGAGGAGGGTGTTGGGGGCTTGGGTGGGGCCACAGCCGCAGAGGATGTGTTCAGCTAACTGCCTGCCTGCCTGCAGTCTGCATCGTGGGCCCCAATGGCGTGGGGAAGAGCACCCTGCTGCTGCTGCTGACGGGCAAGCTGGCGCCGGTGAGTCTTGGGCACAGGGACCGGAACACTCCTGTCCCCCAGCTGTGGGGGTGGGGGGGGCTTGGAGCCTCCCAGGGAGGGAGAGCTCTCAGCTGGGGGTGAGGCTGGGGCCCACCCACTGACACGTTTTCAGAGAATAAGAAAACACGAGGGAAAATGGAATTAAAACAACAAAATTTTTGCACAAACTTTTGGACACTCCCTCATTGTGTCCCTGGCACAACAGTGAGAAGACAAGGGGAAAAATTCAAAATAACCAATGCTTTGGAAGGTGTGTGTGTGTGGGGTCTCCTTTTTCCTTTGCAAAGGCGCCGATAGTTGGGGGTTTTTTTTGGCACCAACAGTTATTAAACTAGTGGACTATACAAGTTGACTAATAGCCAGCTTTTCTAAACACTGTACCTCAGATGTATTTCCTTGCATATAATCGTGTGTGCATCCATTTTACATGATTGTATCATAATGTATTTGATACTTAGGTCATTTCTGATTTTTCACTCCAAGGGCTGTGTAGTCACACCTTGGAGGAGATCGCGTGGATTCAGTTCCAGTCAGTAAAGCACGTCATGCGAATTCCTGGGTTTTCCCACACATGTGTAGATTGTTTACCCTGTGCTGTGGTTTTACTAAGTCACGATAACAGCATTTTGAAAAGGGTTGAAATGGTGAGAATTGCCAGCGTGGGACACAGTTGCCACGGGCCTTCAGCTTGTAAAAATCACCACCTCACACCGGCGTGGAGCACAGCCACGGCACTTTCTTGTGTGGATGACGGCACTTTGCCCTGGACCTCAGATCCCAGAATTGCTTGCGGCCCTGTGGCCATGTCTCACACAGAGCGCCGCGGGCCCACCTCCGCCTGCCCCAGCCAGGATGGAGAGAAGGGGCCAGTAGAGCTAGCTCCCGCTGTCCGAGGCGCTCTTGAACTGTGTGCTCATTAGTCCGGCTCTTTCGCCTGTCCCTTTGTCACCCTTCCTTGGTTCTCGCCTCCCGCTCCCCTTGGGCCCGCACTCTTCTTCCTCAGCTGCTGGGTGTGCCTGGGTCATGCGGGGCTGAACCCCAAGCTCCGTTCCTCGCGCGTCATTGTCCCTGCCCAGGAAATGCTGCCTGACATCACACGTGCCTTTTCTTTGCAGACCCGAGGGGAGATGAGGAAGAACCACCGGCTGGTAAGTTGGCTTGGGGACTGAAGCGGGGAAACCTCTGGTCGAGTGCCACTGTCACTGAGCACCTCCCTCTCCTCGGCAGAAAATTGGCTTCTTCAACCAGCAGTACGCCGAGCAGCTGCGCATGGAGGAGACGCCCACCGAGTACCTGCAGCGGGGCTTCAACCTGCCCTATCAGGACGCCCGCAAGTGCCTGGGCCGCTTCGGCCTGGAGAGCCACGCCCACACCATCCAGATCTGCAAACTCTCAGGTCCCGCAGCAGCGGGGTGGGCTTCTCCTCAGTCAGGTCTCCAGAGCGGGACCTAGCGGCAGGGAGCCAGGGGAGGACAGAGCTGGGAGCCCTGCAGGTGGGGGAGTGCCCACGAGACCGACCGGTGGGCTTTCTGCTCCCATGCAGAGTTAGTCTCAGGACACCCCCAGGAGCAGTTCCACTCTCTCCTCAACCTCACTAGGAGTCAGTGCTTGATGGCAGTGAGCAGATGCACACACACACACACACACACACACACACACACCCCATACACGCATTCCCATTCCCAGCTCAGGGCCCCAGGAGGCACAGTGTCGGAAGTGACAGCCCTCCTCCTGTGCTGCAGGTGGGCAGAAAGCCCGAGTTGTGTTTGCAGAGCTGTCCTGTCGGGAGCCCGATGTCCTCGTTTTGGTTCGTGACCTGGGCTGAGGGGCGGGGGCGAGGGGAACAGGCTGACACGGGCGTTGGAACGAAATGCTCAGCCATGGAATTCCTCCTCCGCAGGATGAGCCGACCAATAACCTGGATATAGAGTCTATTGATGCTCTGGGGGAGGCCATCAATGAGTACAAGGGTGGTAAGTCAGCCCAGAGCCGGCCCCCCTTCCTTCCCCTGCCCCTGGGTCCGGGCCCCTCCCTCCTGGCGTGTGCTGACTCCTCCCTCCTCCCTTGCAAGCTGTGATTGTCGTCAGCCACGACGCCCGCCTCATCACAGAAACCAACTGCCAGCTGTGGGTGGTGGAGGAGCAGAGTGTCAGCCAGATCGACGGCGACTTCGAGGACTACAAGCGGGAGGTGCTGGAGGCCCTGGGCGAGGTCATAGTCAACCGGCCCCGGGATTGAGCCTTCCAGGAGATCCTGAAGACCCAAGTCCCCATAGGATATGTGTGTCCCCAGTCGGAAACCTGCCTCTGGCCTGCAGCCGGCTCCACAACCACTCAGGCAGGTGAAGGTGGCTGCCTTGATGTGACCAGGGTACCACTGATTGCTCCCTGCTCCTCACAACACTTGTCTGGTCCACTCCTCTGCAGAAACTGACTCTGCCCCTGACGCCCCCGTGTGAATGGAGGTGACCTTCATTCATGCGGGAACCTGCCTTGCTAAGCTTGTGTGGCCCAGAGGCCCCTGCTGTCCACCTTGCAGGGCCCAGTGGCCTGTCCATGGTCCCCGTCACTGAGTGGCTGGCGCTGCTCTTTCCAGCTGGATTCAGCGCTCGCTCGCTCATGGGTCCCAAGCAGATGCTGCAGCGCTGAGCTGGAGGGCTATGCTGAGGCCTGCCGCCTTGGTCTGGTTGGGACTTGGAGGCGAGAGGGGTGGTGCTAACCCTCAACCTCCCTTCACAAGAGAAAGCAAGCACGCAGAGGGGAGGAGTTACTACTGTCTCCTGTCACCGTTTGCTCGGGAGTGGACACTGTTCTCGTCTTGTGCAATTGTCCATCACTTTTCTCACGAATACAGATGGATCTTATTTTCAGCCTCACCTCCCTGTGGGGAGAGCTTGCTATCTGAGAATCCTCCCTTCCATCAAGGACACTTGACTGTCGGTGTGAATGAGGCGGTCAGAGCCCAGAATACGGATCCTTTCCAAAGGGATGAGTGGCCAGCGCGTGCAGTGCTGTGGGGCGAACACAGGCAGCAAGCAGGTCTGCCTTTGCATTGTCCAGTTAGAGAAGACTTGGAAATAAAACAGGAGCTGGTTACAATTGGATGTAATACAGATTATTGCCAAATGACTGGTATTGTGGATTCTGAATTGCCATGTGCCCTTCACAAGACTATCTAGTCAAGATTTGAATAATGAGGGAGGAGGGGTGGGGCCACCTTTCAGCATTAGCAGATGCACAGTACCAAGACTCGGAGGAGAACCAGATGTGCCCGGGAGCTGACTTGAGTTGGGGTCGCCAGTGTCCTCAGCGACATTGGAGGGTGATCTGGGAAGAGAAGGAAGGGTGGGTGGGGTAGTGAGGTGTGAGGCAGTGGTCCCGGGGGTCAGGTGTCGGGCTACGAACTTCAAGCCTAGCTGCTCCGAGAAAACGTGAGGGTGCTCCTGTGAAGGCGGACATGGCCGGCACGCCTAGGTGGACTTGCTGTGAGCTGACACGGCCCTGCTGGCAGCAGGCTGGAGTCTGGTGTGTGAGCTAGACTGAGTGACAGGGTGGGGGTGGGGGGCTCTTCTGTTAGGATGGTGAGGTGACTAAATCCTAAACTAGGCTGTTGGAGGAACAGCAATACTAACACCTAGAGCCAGCTTGCGGGTGGGTGGTAGCAAAGATGGTCAGGCGTTATATCCAGTTGAAGAGAGGATGTGAAGAGTGAGTTAGGTCCTGGGGTTTGCAATCGCAATGGGAAACAACGCGGTTGGACCTCAACTACAAGGTTCACCCCGGAAGTGAAGGCTTGAGGTGGAAATGACAGCCGAATGCCATGCTAGGGAATGACGGCAGGGTGGAACACCTAAGGGACCGGAGGCCACCTGATGTTGCCAGTATTCTGTGACGGCAGGTGGAGCAGTGGGAGCCAGGCATCCGGCCCCTATCGGATGACCGTTGGACAGCGTATATTAGCCTCTTGGCACTTGCTTCCTCCTCTCAAGTGAAGGTGATCCAGTAGTGCCTGCCTCAGGGTTGCACTGGGGGTATACCTGTAATTCTTTGTCAAGTGTTCAAAGTCTTTTGTGAATTTCATGCTATACTCGACGTGTTAAGCTTGCAAGTTTTGGTTTACTAGATGAGGTGATAAAGAACAGAAGCACTATTTATAAAATGAATACCACAATTCTGTATTTCAAATTTTTCCTTAGAAATCTCAAGTACTTCAGCTCCAAAATGACTTCCATCCATGGGCACAAGCTTTATTTCTTCATAAAAGTCTATTAACGTACATTATCATGGAATCCACCTAGATAGGGCAAAAGTGTGCAATAGAAGGTTCAAGAACGGCATGTAACGGGGAAAAACAACAACAGGCAACTGAAAAAGAAGCAATTTTAGCCACTAGTTTGATTACCTTCCGAACATGGAGAAAGTAGGACCTAATAGGCACTTATCACCAAAATGGGGGTGGAGAAAAAGATGGTTCACATCCTGATACTGAGGAAGCTCATAGGCCAGCCTGCCCACGTCACTGGGCCTGTCAGGGGGGTGAGCTGGGATGGTGTCCCTGGCTTGACACCTGTGAAGTCCATGGATTAGCCCTGTGGGACAGTAGAGATGTGCCCTGCAGAACTTGGCGGAACAAACATTGATGGAAGCAGGGGAACAGCTGCATTTCTTTCCCATGAGGAGGGCCCCGTGTTTGCAAAGCCCTGGTCATTTCACTAACAGTCAACAGCTGAACACGTCAACACCACAGGGCTCCTTGGTCTGACTCCTGGTTTTTCCCCCTATGCCCTCTTAAAGGGCCAAGACTAGCCAGGCAGGACTGTGATCCTGGCAGACGGTGAAAATGAGACCAGGGAAGAGCCCCAAACAGCCTGGGAATGTCTGGAAGTTTCCCTTGTGAGGTTGGTGCTGGTAGAAACCCGGATGCTGATGCTGCTCATTCTGGAGCAGTACTTGCAAAAGTGTCTCAGATCAGCAGCAGCAGCAGCATCACTTTGAACTTGACAAGTGCTAGGACAGGACTTGGGGTGCCTTAGAAGCATGTCAAGCTGAGCAGATTGAGTGAAGGCCGGTGATAAGACTAGGGTCAGGGGGGTTTCTTAGGGGCTTGTGATGAAAATACCTGCTGTAGGGTTAAAGGCGAGGGTTTGGGGGGTATGTGTGTGTGTTCACGTCAGCCTTGGAAAAAAAGGTGTGGAGGAGGCGAAGACTCGAGCCAGACTGAGAAAATGGGGACAGGGAAGGGGGTCCAGTTACAGATCACCAAGAGTTTTGGGAAGGAAAGATGCGATAGACCGTGGGTCTGACTTTTACACGGAGTGAGTCAAGAATCTTTACCAGCACAAGTAATAGGCAAACTAAGGTCTGAAGGTTGAGAAGGAACCGGCCTGCTGAGGGACCCTCCAGGAACAGACCAGCCCGAGGATGCAGAGAGCTTGGTATAGTCAAGTAACCTGAATTTCATGCATGAGCAGAGACCAGGATCCTTTGTAAGGAGGGTGATTTGGGGATCCGTGGGAAGCCACCGGTGGTATTTTACTGGGAGCACGAATCGATCTGGTTTGCATATTTACAAGATTGCTCCTGTTGACGGTAGGGAATATACGACTGGGCGGAGAGGCAAGAAAGAGTAGGAGGCCATTTAGTTAATGGAAAGGAGATGCCCTCCTTCCTCTTGAGAAGCGAAGGTACAATGGACATGGGCCTTTCCAGAAGTGGAAATGGCCCACTGGGTGGAGCTCATATTCTGTAGGTGCCAGAGACTGAAGAAGAGAGCTTGCCAATCCGCAGTTTTGAGCCAATGCTAATATTTATAAAGTACCCAGGGTGCACCGGAAAAGGTTTTTTGCCATTACACTGACTGCATGAGAGCAGGTAGAGATGAGTTGGTGGGCCTGGGGCCGACGGAAATGCTGAGAATGATCGCAAAGTTAACTTCGTGAGGAAGGCCACATGAAAATGTAACTAGTTTGGATTTTGATGGGAATTTTAAAATGAAATTAAGGGGAATGAACTAGGAAGCGCTAAGTCTTGGAATGTTGTGGTCTCGCGGGGAGGAGCGTGAGAGGCAGGCAGCAGATGAAACCGGAGGGCACAGCACAGGGCTGTGGCCTGTTCAGTGGGTTTTGTACTAGAACTGGGCACATCACACAGGGAACTTGGCCCTTAGATTGCACCCCCCTTTCAAGCCTGCATTTCCCAGCACACAAGAGCAGCCATCGGAACACACCAACAAGACTTGGTAAAGGAGAAACATGGTCTCTTGGGACTTGCTAAGCGCTGTCTATTGGTTCCCACACCGTGGACCACAGAAGGAAATACAGCCCCACAGTGGTTGGCTCGTGGAACCCCTTGTTGCCGCCCCTGTGTCAGTCCATCTGCTCAGGGTCTCCCTCTCTTGTGCTGACCCTCTCCTTTCCCCAAGCATGAGGTCCTTCTCCAGGGAGCCCAAGTATGATGTGAAGTCTCCCATCCTCACTTGTAAGCAGCATTTGGATTGTTTCCCCCCCAGTTCGTTTGTTCGGTACTCCTTAGTCTTCACATTGCCGTCTTGGCTTTTTCTTTCTTTTAATTAATTTTTGGGTGTGGCTTTTTCACTCATTAAAGATAGGCCTAGTGTCATCTGCTGTTTGCCTTCCTGACTGCTGCTTCCACGGGCACTGTTGGTGGATACAAGTAAACGGAAATTCTTGCCAACTTCACGCTTGGTCTTAACCTACACGCGAGGCCTGTGGACTGTAGGAAGTGGTCGCCCTCACGTGGCCAGGGCTAGAAATAACCGTCAAGGCATTCGTGTTCCAGGGCAGTACGCATTGAGCATGCTTGTTGTTGGCTATTTAAAAATCTATATTCATATACTGTTAAGTATGATTCATAGTGTAGTTTTTTGGTTGGCAATCAGCAGTATCATCGAAGACTTAGGAACTCATTAGAATTGCAAAATCTTGGAATCCACCCCAGACATTAAATCAAAAACTCTCCCCAGGGCACCACCCCCACCTCCCCCCACCCCCGCGCTGTCCGTTAAGCCTTCCAGGTGGTTCTGCTGCGTCAGATCACCCACATTTCACCCCTGCTGCCTCCCCTCCGCAGGTCCGAACGTCACGTGCGCAGCTGTTTTATACACACAACGTACTATTTGAGGGTGATCACGGAAGTCCTGCTACTAGAGCTCCGGTTCTTAGGTGCATGGTTTATTCCAAGCGTTTAAAACGTGTCCTGTAATCAATGTGGCTGGTTGAAAACAAGTTCTCTCGGCAATACACTTGTCTTAGTCTCCTTAGGGTGCCTTCAAAACAAACAGGCCCAATCAGACTGAGGCTTGCCAGGGTGCCTGTGGGGCCAGTGAGATTCAAAGCAGAGGGCTCAGGTCATGGCGACTTTACGAGGGACTGGATACATGTTCTTGAAGGGCTCAGAAGGATCATTTGGCCTTCCTAGGAAGTTACAAAAAGATGCGAAGAGCCAGGCAAGCTGTGCCCAGTTTTTTGTCTCAACAATACACCTGCTTTGAAGGATAGATAGCAAGGGCTCAGAGCCTGCCCGAGAAACCGTACCCTGATCTTGCCCGCTTTGTATTTGTCCCCAAAACAGCGTGAAGGAACATGATTTCAGTCCCTGGCGGATGCCCCCACTGCCGTTTTGATGTGGTGTGGCATCGAGCGCAAGCAGAGTTCTTTAGGGGAAAGGGAAGGAGATGGAAACGTCTTTAGAAGTTATTACGTAGATCGAGGTGGAGGATACGGTGAGAAAGTGTACCTTCTCATTTCACAGACTCGAAGGTAGGGGTACTTTTAGGCTTTGCTTCATACTTCAAATGCCTGGTTCCAAGAATACCTCCATTTCCCATGGTTAAAATAATAGGTATTTCGGGTTCCATTCGACACTGGGCTCAATGATGGTTAAAATGCATAGGCACATTGGTGCACCTGTCCTATTCTCTGAAGATCCAGCCAACCCTGTGCCCTCTTGCCTCCTGTTCACCACTGAAGCTTGCAGGGATGAGGTTCAACTACTGTTGCTATGCCAACTTCAAGGCCCCCTGCTCCAACAGCTTAGCCAAGAGCTCTGAGCTCCCAAGGGCCCCACTGCCAAGAGAAGGCTGACCCTGGGCTCTATCTACCCTGCCCCCTGCAGTTAACCAGGTAATACCAGGTGGCTGCAACCCTTCCGTGGGGAAACTGAATGAGAAGGTAATGGAGTTGTCTTCCGCGACTTTCAGTCCTTGATACCAGTTGCGTGGAGGTCCAATCACTAGGTGCTAATCGAGTAGATAACCCTCATAGGGTCTCCTTAGCTGATCTGTAGGGAAGCAGACCGCCTGGCCTTGCTGCTACAGAGCAGCCAGGTGGATTCAAACCACCTTTGTGCTTCACAGCCACGCAACGGACCACTGTGGCCAGCCTGGGCTCAGCAGAACAATCATCATTTAATTTAGGAGACTCCGCCAAGGTTGGCCTCAATGTAGCTCCGTCTACATTAGCTGATGTGGGTTGGGCTTTCTTCTCCGCCTCCTTTTTACAGAGTTCGAGTACACCGGGGTTTAAATAAGCTGCTTCTCTCTCCTGTTTATTAATGTACAAAATATACAAAACCAAAAAAGAAAAAGAAAATATTCATCCTCAAATCCATGTGGCTCTAACCCATGACCCTGCACAAAACCCAACCAATTCACTGTTTTCATAGAAAACAACTGATGCCGAGACAGGTAAAGGAGAGGGCAAGCTCATCTTGAGCCCACCCAAGGGGACACTTTGGGGACTCGATGGCTGCCAGAGACAGGGAGCTGGAAGCCTCCCTAGGACAAGGTTCCGGGTGGAGAAGGAGCAGGCTGGCTCCCCAGAGGCAGTGTGTGTAGTGTGACGTCAGCCCAGCATGCGGGCTCAAGTTGGTCTCACGGACATGTTCTTCCAAGTCTCCAGAGTGGTTTCAAAGACCAGGCACCCCTATGGGCCTGACTCGTGCCCGCGAAAACTCACTGGATGCCGAGAGATGCAACTCAGCCGCCATTGGGGGCCTAGTGGACCCCTATGCCCATGGGTGTTCACGGACGGTGGTCTTGAGAAAGCCCATGATGCAGAGGGCGGCGTGGGGCTGATGGTTCCAGAATCAGATCCAGCCCGACAGAGCCCTCTCAGAGCATAGGACAGACCGCCCCAGCCCCTCCCCAGCCCCTCGGAGCAACGGGCTCGGCTGGGATGATGTCCTAAGTGCGGCGGGTCCCATGGCAGAAGTCTGTGCGCACGTGGGGGATCCACCACAGGAGAGCAGGGAAGCCAGCTTTCAGCTCTCAGGCATGAAGGGTAATACTGGAAGGGGGTTTGGGGTACAGGGCAAATCTCCTCAAAAAGCGAAGTCAACTGGGTCTTCTCTTGAGCAGTCCAGGGGTACAGAATATGTCCAGTCTCTCTCTTCCCCACCGGGGAACAATGCACACCAATGTGCACCAGTGTTCAGAAACCCCCCAAGACCCCAAGTGGGCGGGAACGGGGGGCTGGCTCCTCCTCAGCTGGGGAGAGGGGGAGATGGGCCTCACAGAAGCCATAACAGGGTGGAAGGAGCCGGGCTGTAGTCCACAGGGATGGTGTGGGTGGGGCGGGCGGCGGTCCCTAGGGCAAGGGGGGCCCATTGACGCCCGGGTGGTAGAAGGCACAGTTGTTCTCATAGCGGCAGTTGCCCTTCATCATGAAATGGCGGCATACGGGGCGGTTTGACATGTCTGTGGGAATGAGGGTGGGCCGGTTAGAGAGGAGAGAGACGGTGAGTGCCACCCTAAGCCCTCCCCTCCACAGTCCACGGGATCCTGGGGACGGCACTGTACTGCATGCTGGGAAAACCAGAGGGTGCAGACGTCACGTGCAGCCTGGCACCCAGGCTGCAGCCTCTCCCGCTCCTCAGAGGACGCGTGGGAAGGAGAACCAGAGAGGCCGCTGGGAGCTCGCTCACCTCCTCCGTGGCCGTGGCCTCCGTCGTGCCCTCGGTGGCCCGGGCCATCGTGGCCACGGTGCTCATGAGGGGGTGGCCCTCGATGATCGTGGCCTCGGTGTCCAGAGACATCGTGAGGCCGGTGGCCATGGGGCCCCCCATGGCCAGGGCCTTCATGGGGGCGATGTCCACTGCCCCCGCCCATTCCTCCGCCAGGGCCTTCGTGGGGGCGATGTCCGCTGCCCCCGCCCATTCCTCCGCCAGGGCCTTCGTGGGGGCGATGACCCCCACCTCCAACCATGCCCCCACCGGGACCCCCTCGTCCGTTTGGGGGTCCTCCTCCAGAGCGTCCTCCTCTGGCGCCACGGAAAGGAGGAGGGGGAGGCTCATTTCCTCCTCGGCCACCGCGTCCTCTGTGGTAGGGGCCGGGACCAGGTCCTGGGCCCCCTCGAATTGGGCCACCCCGCATGGGGTCACCCGGGCCATCCCAGAAGGGATCACCACCCCGGGGAGGGGGTGGGGGACCCAGGAGACGTGGGCCCACCGGCCCACCAGGGCCTCCATGGGGACCTGTTAACAGAAAGAGAAAACGGGACAAATGATCGGTTACCTGCAGCAAAGCCCGGACTGCACCCTACACCATCATCTCCTCCCTCTTCCCTTCAGAAGCTCGCTTCCTCTCTTACTTACTACCTACCTGGCATAGGCCCTCCAGGGCCAGGGGGGAAGTGCTGCATGCCTTTGGGGCCTCCGGGGCCCCCAGGCGGGAACCCATTGGCTACGGGACCATGGCCGAGGAGTCCGTGTGGCACTGCAATGACAACCAGAGAACACCTGTCAGCAAGGATCCCAGAAAAGCACGGGTCGGGGCTCCTCATTTAGATAAGCTCGGACGTCCTGAGGGAGCCCAGCCCCCCTCCCCTCCCACATCCCTTGCTTCGTGACAACCCTGTGCTTGTCAGGGTCTGTGACACCCTGCGCCCTCTCCCTGCCCGGCCTCAGTACCCAGCATCTGCTGGAGCTTGTCTGCGTAGTCGGGCTGTTTCTGCAGCTCTTCCGAGGGGTGACTGCTGGGGCTGCCCTGCACGGAAGGAACAGGACAGGTCAGCGACGGGCCGGGCGGCGAAGCTAACACCAGGGAGGCGGAAGCGAAGGAGTGGCAGCTAGCTGCGGGACGGGGCCGTAGGGGAGTGCGGGGCAGTGGGGTCAAAGGAAAGGGAGACAGCAGAGACTGGCCGGGGACGTGCCGGCAGAGGCGGCCTCATACATACCATGATGGAGGTGAGAATCTCCTGGACGTTGATGCCGCCGCCGCCGCCAGGACCCTGGGGGCTCTTTCCAGCGCCCATGCTCCCCATCAGATTGGCCAGGACAGGGGGTAACTTAGAGCCACCTGCCCCGTCAGGTGACCCACCAGCCCCGCCGGCCTCCAGGGTCTCCATATAGGGGGTCTCGTCCATGGAGCACTCCTGAAAGAGCGGAAGGAAGTCAGGACCACGGAAAAGACAGGAGGCCTTCTCACCTACAAGCCGTGTCAAGAGACATAAGCTATCGCTGCCCCCATCCCCACTGGCTCACTCACCTCATCAAGGGGGATCAGTTTGGGGGGTATCGGCTCGTAGGGCTCCGGATCGGGCTCATGGGGACTATCGGGCATGCCGCAGGAAAAGGAAGAAAAGAAACAAGAATGTGAGGCAGACTGTTCAGGCCAGACACCTGGGGGGTAGGGGGCGGGAGTTGGTTCTCAAATGATCCCAGGCCACGCTGGCTTCAGGACAGGATTTGAAGTGGTCCGGATCCCCTCCTGCTCACCTCTCCTTATTCAGGAAGAGCTCCTGAAGGATCCCCTTCTCCCGCTCGGCCTGGATGTACCGCTCCTGGCTGTTGCCCCCAGGGATGACCAGTGGCGAGGGCAGAGCCAGGGGCCGGGGACACACCCAGGGCACCTTCTCCTCCATGCTGTCATGGCTCAGCCGCCGAGCTGTCTCAAATGCATGCCGGTCTGACAGGATCTCTCGCTTAGCCGCTTCTCCGAAGTCCTTGATCTTGTTCACATTGACTGGGGAGAGGGAGAGACAGACTAGCATCACCTCACCGGCACTGCCATCCCAACTCCCAGCGACCCGGGAGAGCTGCCCCTGTGGGTTTCCAAGCCCAAGCCTCCTTTCCTCTTTCTCCCAGCGGGTGCGTTTGAACCGCTGACCTTACGGTTAACAGCCCATTATATGCCACCGGGGCTCCAAGAATCACGTAATCCTCTTCAAATGCCCCCGTGCTATTACGTAGGAGATGCGACCTCCTCTTACCTCGTTCAGTCTCGTCCAGTTCAAAGTAGAAGTATTCCCGCAGTTTGGCCTCCTCGGGCCACGTCACTGTTTTCCTCTTCTTGCCTTTCCGGGTCAGCTGGCTGGGGTCGCCAGGGCTCTCCACAGGCTTCACATCCAGAGCCCCGGGTTCCAGAGAGGCTGCAAGAGGAGGACGTTTCAGACCCAGACCCTGGCAAGCACACCTCCAGACGGAGGGCGGGCTCCCGACTCACCTGCATCCATGAGCTCGGGGACTTCAACAGGAGGTACTGGGGTGCCCGGACGCTCCGTTTCCATGGCCTCAGAAGTGGGGGCCAGTTCGGGGGAAGAAGGTTTGGCTGTGCTTGTGTCTGCGCTTGGTTTCCCTTCAAAGGGGCTCGGCTACGGTGACAGAGAAAGAAGTCAATGGGCTGACAGGGTGGCCCGGGCCAGGCAAGCACGGTTCCTTCCCGGGTCTGTCTCTAACACAGCCCCAGCCAAAGCCCACAGGCCACCATCGAGTCCACTCCAGCCCCTCGTGAGCCTCTGGGGCAGAGCAGAGCTGCTCTCCAGGGTCTGTGGGACGGCCAGGCTTTGTGGGAGCAGCTTGCTCCCAAGGAGCGGATGGTGGATTTGAACTGCTGACCTTGTAGCTAGCAGCCCAATGTATAAACTAACTGTGCTGGCAGGACTCCCAGCAGTCGACAGCTGCAGCTCACTTCCTCCTGTTGTCCTCCCCAGTTGCCTTTCTACTTCCCCTCCACCTGCCCCCTGGCCCCGCACCTTAGCAGCTGTCGGGGACAGCACCTTCTTCTTCTTCTTAATTTTGATGCCAGGAACAGGGGCTGAATTGAGAGCATCCAGAAAGCCCAGGCCCTCCATTGCTTGAAAAAACAAGAAAAAGAAAAACTATCACCTAGAAGCACCAGATCGCCCTCACAATCTTCTTCCTGCGGACACATGCTGGGCAGATGACAACTTTGCCTCGACTTATAATAAAATCATGCTAAGACCCTACACCGAGCTGCGAGTCCCCTAACTAGTCACCGAATGAATGGGACCCCTCCCTCCCCCTCTCCAGAAGGTGAACTCCCGTGCACAGGTTCCCCTGCGGCCCTCAAAGCGCTTCGGGAAGGAGACTCACGTTGTGGCGGGATGATCTTCACTTTAATCTCTTTGGTGGCGTTGGGCGTGGTATTGAGCGGCTTGTATTTCTTCTCTGCAGGGGGGGCAGCATCTCCCGGAGCAGCTATGGGACTGTCCAAGAGGGGCAGTCAGCATCACCGGCCCTCCACCGGCCCCTCCTGGATCTCCAGCAAGCGCCCCCCGCCCCATATCCACCCCACCCTGACACCCAGAACACGGCCCATACCTCTGTCGCTTGAGCGGAATGGGTTTCAGGTTGTACTTGTCCGAAACCACCACTGTGTTGGCGTTCTTCTTCACAGGCACCAGAGACGGGGTCTCCAGCTCTAGTCCTGGGGGGCGGGGGGAGCACAGTGTGGGCAGCCGCCCTTCCCCCGCCCCTCCTTCCCTTTCCTCGTCCACCCCCAAGTCTTCACGGAGCTCCCTCTGCCCCACCACAAGCTGCTCCCGCTTGTCACCGACCACAAAATCAAACCATCTGCCCTCCCCCCTCCCCCCTCCCCGGCAGGTACATGCCCAGAGAGCTCGCAGAACCACCAACAGCCTTACCAGTGGAGCGGAACTTGGCGTGACTGGGTGCCATGGTTCGGAGAGACTTGGGCTTCTCCTTTTTCTTCTCGGGGACCTCCTCAGGGCGAGTCTCAGGCTTCACCTCCATCAAGGGCCGCTCAGGAGGAGTGGTTCGGCCCTTGCCTTCATCTTTCCGTCTCTTCTTGTCTTTTTCTGCTGCAGAGCAGAGCACAGCAGGAGAGGTCTCTATGAGAGCAGCCAGAGGGAGGCAGGGGCAGCAGCGGGCCACACGCCAGCGAGAAAGGACACGGGCGCGGGGAAGGGGCTTACCAGCAGGCTGGGCACTGCTCTGAGATCGGATGACAGCCATCCAGTCGCTGACGAGGACGGAAGCCAATTTCCGGAGCTCTGTGGGTGATAGAAAAGGGTAATGTCAGGAAACAGGGATGTTGGAAAACGTCATGTGCGAAACAGATCGACAGTCACAGAGCCACCCTCTCCTCAGACACGGCTCCTCGCTGCTGAGGCTGGCATCCCCCCGCCCCCCTGCCCCGAGAGTGCGTGCTGGCACACGTAGAGAGGGAAGCACAGAGATCAAGGGCACAACAGTACAAAGTGTCAGAATGAACACCGAACACAGTGCCTCGGCCCTTCCCCCAGCAGCTGCTGGAAGGGCGCAGCTGAGCCAAGCCACTCAGAGGCAGGCAGGACAGCAAGCCTCTGCGGGGCTCTGAGGACACTTTTTCTGCGTGATCCGAAAGACAAGTTGATCGCAAAAGTTCCAAGGAGGCATATTCAGACCACACTTAGAAAAACTGTGGCTGAACATTATAACCCAACTTTCAAAACTGCCAAACACCCGGCCGGCTCTCACAGCTCAGCTTGGCACTGTTCTGCAGTAACGGAAGCTTCCACTCCCAGCTGGTTAGAGACTACACAAATGGGCAATCTGAGTGATCCTAGGTGAATCAATTGAATCCCTCTTCAAAGAAGGCCACCGCCAGTTGGAGAGAGGTAACAGTATTATCGGAAAGTTGGGCACTGATTTCATAGGCTCTCCTGTGTTACACATAAACTACATGTAAATTATGTACTTTATGTAAATTACGACCTGAGAACCACATTAACCTGTCCAATGGAAGCGAGGGAACGCTTTTCCACAAAAAGAACACTGGGGTCCTGTATCCCGAAATAGTGTCCCCAAGCCCCCTACCCCCACCCGCACCAGCAGAACTTTGCACAGGCTCCTCCAGGGATGGAAACTCCCTCCAGACCAAACAGGTCAAAGCCTCCTACCCTAAGGACCCAGAAATGACTCCCTAGATTCAGAGAGCGAGCCTGTATTAATAGTTTTTCCAGAATTCTAATATTCCTCAATGGTGGACCTGGTGGGATGAGTCGTGTCTCACAGTGCTGGTGTCTGCCCTGGGTAGGGAGTCCAGACTCACAGAATCCCCACAGAAATGACCAGACTATGTGATAAGAGTTGTATGAGCCCCTAATAAAATGATTTTTTTAAAAAAGAGTTACAGTCATGGGAACCCAGAGGCAGTTCTACCTTATCCTGAAAGGTCGCTATGCATACAGAGTAGGGGTTTCTGAGGCTGTGTTCTTAATAGGTAAGCTACCTGCCACAGCTTTCCCCCATGAGCAGCTGATAGGTTCGAATCACCCACCTTTATGGTCAGCAGCCAATAACAAATAAACTATCTTACATTGGAAAAAAAAAAAAAGAGAGAAAGAAATGGCCAGACTATGTGGGCCCTTGCCAGGGGCACCAACCCTTTTCTTGGGTAAGTTAAGACTCGGCTGGGATCCGAGCTAGGAGATGCTCGAGAGTCAGGATTTTGCCAGTGTCCTACACGAATGTCTATTGGCGGGACTTTTTGAGAGCGAGAACAACAAGGCAAGGAAGAGAGAGACAATCCAAGATCCAAGAACGGTGGGAAGTGAAGGTGGTTATGTAGAAGGAGGGTTGGGGGGGGGGGGGGCGGTGCTCAGGACACAGCCAGTATACATACCTTCATCCTCACTTGACTTGCTCAGTTGCTTCACCAGTTTGGCTGTGTTGTTCTAGGAGAGACAGGGAGCAACAGCGAGGTAAACGTCAGGAGGAAAATAAGCCCATCCAGAACAAACCACCCCCACAAGCCCACAATCTCGACACAGTCCCTCCCTTACACTGCAGCTAATGGTGCATATGGTGCTTTAGTCTTTACAAAGCCTTAATCTTGAGAAGCACCCAGGTAGATGGCTACAATGATTCCCATCTGACAGGACACCGAGCCTCAGATGTGGGAAACTCCCCAAACTAAACACCTATAAAGGAGATCAATTTGAGGCAAGTCTCCTGATTCCACATCCATTTTCTTCCACCAGTTTAATGAAGGGCGCCCGTCTGCAGCCCTATCGGAGTCTGTGTGTTTCTCCACTCAGGGCAAGCCGAGGAGGCCGTGCTGGTGAAGAATACACGAACCTGCTTGAGATGGTCCACAGTGAGCGGCAGGTGCTGCAGGGTCAGGAGGATTTGCTGCAAGAGGGGAATGTTGTTGGTCGTCTTTGAATATGTCAACCAATTGTTCAGAAGCTTGTAGCCACCAACGTCAATGAACCTGTCGGCGAGGAGGACAATCTGTAATTTCCTTCCCTGGGTTCTCGAAATACCACATCTCACACACCTCCTCCTCTGCCCACAGCAATCTAGGTACCCCATGCCACCGCCCAAGCCCTCCCCTTTCTAACTTCATACTTCTCCCCACCCCAGTCCCCCAGCTACTCACGTGACCAGTATCGCAGGTGTACGGGTCTGCAGGAGGATATTCAAGTAAGTGCATCGGCTCACCATCTTCCGGGCCTCCTTCATTAGGCTGGAAGAGAGGCATGTAGTTTAGGGCTGGGGCAGCCAGAGAGGGCCTCTTCTCTTAGCAGAAAAGTCTGTTGGTTATCTGGTGGGAGTCACTAGCAGTCCATTCCTGATGACTTGGGAATTGGCTTCTGTGTGGGAGGGTCACACAGGCCTCTAGCAGGGTGGGATGGATCCCAGTGACACAGAAAACCATCGGACAATGGAAGACGACCAGGGTCCTGAAGCCTGCGCTTCCCTGGCACACAGGGGACCCACCGACTGCTAAGGGAAGCGTTCTAACCCTCAAGAGCCACCCCTTAGCGGTCTGTTCCAGACCGGCTGGGTCATGTGCTTTTCCTTCTGATGGGACACTTGTGGATCCCTGAAGGGGATGCTATTTGGGGTCTCTGGCACCTGAGCCAAAATAGAACCAGGAACCCTGTCACTTGACTACCCTGCTCTTGTTCAGTGTGACCACTCCTGCTTAGGACTGTGGACATGTGCAGCCCTAGCTTTTCTGAAGGGCAGGACGCCAGAGGTCGTCTTTTCCCGTCACGGTGCTGCTCCACGTAGTACAAGAACTCCTGCGGCGGCAGACTCACCTGAAGATCTTGGAAACGCCATCCACACTCCTGACCTCCCCGTCTCGGTTAAGGAAGCTATCCAGGCCCTTGAGCAGCTCTTTGGGGTCTATAGGACCCGACCCCATGATCGTGTTTTCTACGAAGAACAAATAGCACAGAGTAAGTGGCTGGCCATGGCAGCCCCAGCACTTCCTCTGATAAGCCTCATCTCTACTATCTGACAAAATACGGCTAATTGTTCCACCTGCATTCATACGACCTCACCGTGTTCTAGGTAAAAGCAACGCTGACAATCGCCACTGCCGAGGGAGGCGCCCTGACACAGAGCACAGGCTGACTACGGAAGGGGAACACAACCGGAGTTTGGGTGGCCAAGCTTTCTGTCCCTCCCTCCCACTTAACCTCTCTCCTGGGCCAGAGGGGCACCTCAGGGGCACTCAAGGGCTAAGACTCAAGTGCCTATAGAGCGCATGATGCTCCCTTCTCGTTCTCCCAGCCACCTTTCAGTTCCCCGCAGGTTCCGTCTCTCCTGGGGGCTAAGTCAATGGGTCTGGCCTGGCAAACACCGCCACTACATCCACCACGGCGCAACCCCAAATGGCAAGCAGGGCATTCTTAGGAGCTTAGGGTAAATGTCTTGAAAGAGCCATTGTCCTTTGAGCTTGGCCCCTTGGGAGTCATAATCACCAGAAGCGTTCTGCTCGCAGGCATGGACAATCACCTGAAGGAGCCGGGTGAACGGAAAAGCCAAACTCGGAAGCAGACTCTTTCCCCGGGGGAACTGGGGGTAGCTTCCAGCAATGGAGAGAGATGCTGGAAAGGGAGTCCGCAAGCAAGTCTACCTAGGCCTTGACTGGACTCTCACTCCCCAGCCATCAACTGCCCATCGAGGACCGCGGTTTCAGAGTGCAGGGCTAGCTTGGTGCACGGCTTCAAGAGCAAAATCAGGCCTCTGACCTCCCCCCACCCCCCAAATGACACCACCTTCCAAGAGTCAAAGAAAGGTCTGACACCACCAGCCATGGAGGCAGCGAGAACACCGATACAGCCAGTGTCTTGACAAAGGCCTGGCAACCGGTTTGGAAGGGGGTTCAGGAAAAGCTACCCTCCCATCACGGGCCAGAGCGCAGTGAGATAATTTCTCAGCGAGCCCTCAAGTCCCCGAGTGGGTACTTCGGCATACATGACGGCTCTGACCTGGGTTTTTATCTACACTCGACACCCGGGCGTGGAGTCAGCCCAGAGAAAGCTGCCTCTGCTAAGATGTGCCTCTGGGAAAGAAAGCACACACCGGGGAGGAAGGAGACAAGGAAAACCGTGCAAACGCACACCTGCTCCTACATGGAATTGGCAGAGGGACACAGCCCAGCACACAGAGGGGGGAGCAAGCAGTGCTTTTGCTTTTCAAAGCCAGCTACACTTTGTGCGGAGAGAACAGATTTCTTATAAAATAATGTAAATTTGTCCCATGACACACCCAACAAGAAAAACAACAATTACCTATCTCAATCTTTTAACACTCCCCAAAGAATAACTGTAAAGGTCCTAACAGCCTAGGTATAAAGAGGTGGCAGCGACCTGGAGCGACAGGGAGGGGGAGAGAACGAGGTGGTCCAGACTCGATCACAACCTGCAGACATGAACACCGTGAGAAAAGACAATGAGCCGAGCAAGGCTGAGAGGTGGCTACGCTGACTTCACCACCCGCAGACTTCCACGAAGACGCAGAGCCGGAGTCAGGGGAGAAACTACGCACGCACGCAGACCTGGATGCTACCAAGTCTCCATCTGTGGGCCAAATCACTCCCTTAGGCCTAGTGCCGGAGGCAGGGATAAAGAAATGATGTTCTGTAGCTGAGGTACTATAAAATGATACACAGAAACGAGAGAGATACACAGATCCATAAAGGGATAGATGAAACAGTATCACACCTGTTACCAGATGGTAAAGGCAGCCAATGGGTCCAAAAGAGCATGGCATGGATCAATTACCACCAAGAATTATGTACATTTAAGTGTACCTACATATACGCCTACCAGTAAATGCCACACCAAATATCTGCCAATTGAGCCGCCTTGAATCAAACGAAGCGTGTCTGAAACCAGCCACCCTTTAACAGGTGGCCTCACCAACTCGAACCTGGAGCAGGATGAACATGCACGCAAAAGTGCGCACCCCGTGACCAGGGACGCCAAGAGGCCTGCCACCACTCTCCTTCGAACTCAGAAAACGCTGCCACCTGAGCCGGAACATCCCCTCATACAGTGAGGAGATGGGGGCTGGGGTGGGGGAGACAAAGGGAGCAGGGGCCACCATGCTCCATTCTGGGAACTTCTCACCACTGGAAACAACTTTTCAATTCGCAAAGTCCCAAGCAAGAACAAAAGACAGAGCCGTCAAGGGAGGCTAGGAGACAAAGAAGATAGGTTAAAAGATTCATTTTGCACTACTATTTTGGAACTATAACCAAGTAGAATTTTGTCTCCTGAGCACCAATCATGTGATACAATCTGAGAGGTCTTTCCAGTTTCAGCCCACACCCCCACCCCTTTAAGCACCTTACAACCCAGCTTCCTTCCGAAGCAATCAGTACACTGTGAATGAATTCACAAGGTACTCCAGTGGGAAGGAAGGAAGAGCCTAACACTTCGGACACAGGTCCTTGTAGAAAAGGCAAGGAAATGACCAGAGCCGGCAGGAACCTTGACCTGTGTCCCAGTATTACCTACGAATGACTTGGGAGTCTAGAATGACAGCTTGAGGTAGCTTTCCGAAACCCAAAGCGATCCAGGCTCGTGTTTGGTCTGCTGCTCATTTCCTTGAAGCAGAGCACCCCTGCAGGGCCAATCCCTTGGCCCAATGCTTCAGCTGCTCCTGCGCTGAGCTGTCTTCCCAGAGGATGTGAGCAAGACAGGCACTGGGGACTACCCGCCAGCTCTTAGCGGAGATGCAATCACAAAGTGGCCCTGGCTTCTGCTGCCAGAATGGAGGACACTTTAGAATGACCCCCAGGGATGTGAAGTCAGACTACTGTGCGTGGCTCAAGTCGTTCCACGCTGGGCACAATGGGCACAGGCGGGAACTGGTTCAGGACAAAGATCCTAAACAAGTCAGAGCCCTTTAAAAATAGTTAAGCATCTTCTAACAAAAGGAGAAAGGACTCCTGTTGTACTCTGGGGGTGGGGTGGGGTGGTGTCTTACTACTTCTGGAAATGAAAATGCTTCCTACTCAGCCTCTGCTCCTCCTCTTCCTAAAGTGTTTTAGCCATTTCCAGTCTAGACCGCAACAGGGCGCTCAACTATCTCAGGTGCTTCACAAGGTTCTCTCTCTCCCGAGGAAGCACCTACCTGTCATTTTTAAAAACCTGGGTCCCCGCTCTCCCTTCACACCTTTTGAGGAAAGCAGAAAATCCCCAGTAAGGCCACCCCATTCATAGGAAAGGATCCCAGAAGAGAACTCTGCCCACGAGTAGAGGGATTGGATCCTCCAAGTTCTCTGGATGGATCCCTAGTAGGCCGCCTTCTTGCTTTCTTACTCCCATGTTAAGATCTCTGTATTAAGACCCTGCTCACTAGAGAGCCCCAGTGGATGGAATGCTCAGCTCCCAAGGAAGGTATGCTGCACAGACACATGGCAAAAGCTGCTTAAACATAAAAAAACTATGGTCAACAGGCACCTGGAAGTCCCTCCCATCCCATCCAGAAGTACTACATGGCCAGTCAGACCCAGGGACAAAGAAAGCAGCTGTCACCGCAGGACAGCGGTTCAACAGGCCCTTCCAATTTTGCCTAGCATCTCCACCTTTCAACGCAGGTATTTAAAGAAAATAAACGGTATACAGAGATTCTGAGAAAAACTTGTGACTTCCATAGAAGTGTTAAGGGGGACAAGCTACCCAATACCACCCTCAAATAGGGTACAGCTTTGGAACATGCACCAACTGGTATGGCACAAGTTAAAATGGAAAAGGGCACTACTGTTTCCTCATTTTTTGAGGGGAGAAAAAAAATCAACAACAAAAAAAAGTGGCTCTTTGGACAAATGAAGGTTGTGAAATGTAATTAATACCAGAAAGGTTTTGCTTACCAGAAACAGTGGCTTGATTCCCCCTGCCTTGAGTTTACAACTGCCGCCTCTTTTCCTAAAGATTCACTTCTCATCCTAGTACCAACGTACAGGAGCTAAGCAACCGGAGAACGTGGCACAGCACTGAAGAGTTTAGCCCCAAATGTAGAGGTGGGACGCGGTCACTTTTTAAGAAAGTCCTAAAAGTGCCCGTTCCCCCCCAGATTGTTTACACAAAACGTCCCAATGCCAGAGGCCTAAGGGCTGGCTCCTGAGCAGGAAGTGGCACCATGCAGCCTCACTCAGCCCCTCTGTCTTATGAGTTTCTCAAGTCCCCGTGTCCGTCCCCACTAGAGAGGTTAAAACACTATTACAGCCCAAGTATTAAAAAAATAGGGCTGAGGCTTAATTGGCAACAGAGGTGAGGAAAACTTCCAAGCAACCGGGATGAAGTCAAAGAATGTGAAAAGAAAAAGGGGCTCCATGACTCGGTAAAACTACAGCTGCCAGAGGGCAGCCTCAAGACCAATTCCTGTACGCTTTCCTCCCTTTGAAGCTAAAGGGCAGCAAGATTACAGCGAAAGGACAAGTTCGATTCCCCTCCCTAGCAGCAGCAGCCCGGCCGAGTGCAGAAGGCATCTGCCCAGGGGCGGAGCTACGAGAGGGCGGAGCCTGGAGGAAGCAAGCTGATTACATCACCTCCCCGAGCAGCTCCTCCCCCTGGAGCAAGTGGCTAGGGCGGCCCTAAGCTTCGGGTGGCAGAGGGGAAGGAAAACAAAGAAGCAGGGACGCCATTTTGTCATGGTGAACTTACAAGACTAAAAAGCTACCCCCGCTTTGCCGGCACCTGCGATACTACCCACTTGATGGGTTGCGGGGGAGGGAGGGGGAGTCAGCACCCCCGCCCCCCACGCTGAATAAATCTTTGACCAATTTTTCAAGAGCGTTGTGAACATTAAAAACGATCATCTTAAAAAGAACAATTTCCTGGAAGGTGAATTGAATTTCCAATTGACGTCCAACCTGCCACCAACCACCCCTTCCACCGTTTAAAGAGAAAGGGGGGAGGACTTGGAACCCTCAACAAATAGGGTTGAGGTGGGAGGACAGGAGAAAAATGGGTCAAGGCACAACCTGCAACGCCGCTTGGAAGAGACAAAGGACAAGGAAAAGTCGCCATATTGAAGCAGGGAAGAAAAAAATTGCTTTTAAAGACACAAATCTTTTAGAAAGCTAGCATTCAATTGCACTATATGGCTCTCAAAATTATACTTCTGAATTCCACATCCCCCCCCCCACCTTTCCAGCCCCTAGCGGTATTCCCGCCCCCTTAAAAATATCATTAAATGTCAAATCACTTGCTTTTAAATATCCTATGCAATCGGCAACAATTACAAGACATTCCTTCCAACTATTATCATGTATGTATTGGCACTAAGATTATATTTTGCCTAAAATTAAGTGTCTTGCAATCTTTATTCCTAGATTGCCTCCTACTTTAACCGCATACACACCCCAAGCAAATTACATTGAGAGGATTTAACAATCATTTAAAGCCATAGCTCTATTTCTCTGCCCATCTCCTTACCCTGCAATCTTTATGTACAGATTGCTTATTAATCTGGCAAATTGAAAGGCGCCCCTGCTCGTCTCACACACAAAGAAGTGGGACTTTGGGGCCACAAGATCCACCATCTTTTGTATGTGAGCTCATTAACCCTTTTGTAGACTGCAGCTAAGAGGAAGGTAGCCACTCCTCTTTATAAAAAGCAGTACACTTATGGCTTTGGCAGTCTGGAAACTGGCTGGATTACCAAGGGTTAACCGTCAAAATCCTCATTTGCAGGCCCTCCCTCCACCCTCTCCGTGCCTCTGCTGGGCAGGAGGAGGTGGGTAGGGAAGAGCGCGAGATTGCTTAGACCCACAGGCCCTTCGTAATGGAGGCTTAGCGACCTGATTGGTCCTTCTCCAATTCTTTTTTGGTTCTAGGATCTCAGATCTTCCTCTCATCATTTTTGGTTTCACAACGGGAAACGTTGATTTCTTGTTGCAAGGCTGTTTTTTTTGGAAAATTCGACACTTACTATCCAATTTTTTTGCGACGTCAGCACCTCAGGCTCAGGGGGAAGGGGATTAAAATTTTGGAGGAAAAAAAACACCAACCAACCAGAACCCAAAACTCAAATTATCTGGAGGGCCTCATTGGATCAAAAAGTCTCTTTAAAAAACAAAGGCCAGCTCAGTATTCATCCCCCCCCCACCCAACTCCACTTAGGGCGGGGGGGCCGCGGAAAAAAAATCTGAGTGGATTCAAAAAAAATTAAACGCTGGATGAGTGAATCTGGGTGGGTTTAGGAAGGGAAGGTGGTTGATTGTTTTTGTAGTTATGTGGTGACGGTCCTTCGGTCACAGATTGCAAGTCCCAAGCAGCGTGGGCTGGTGGGGGGCAAGATAGGTGGGGGGGGGCAGAAGACACAAGTGGTTGGGCTGGTGGCTGCTGTTTTCCCTTCCCCCCCTTCTCAGGATCCTTTCAAGGGCTTAGATGTTGCTGCGCCTTCTTTTTTCCTCGCGCCCGGCCTGTCTTTCTCCGAGAAAATTCAAACCTGGGGAATAAAAGGAACACAAGGGGAGAAAGATGTAAATCAGCAAGGCTTGCTTTTAAAATACTCAAGAGCACCCCCGAAACCACCTCCGTGCACCAACCCCGATGCAGCCGCTTTATAGTGATCGTGTCTACTAATCGAACCCACCGCTGAGTTTTATTTTCCTAACCCAAAACGCTCCGCCAAAAAAAAATGTACCCTCCAACCAACAAAGGACCGAAACTTACCTCTAAACGAACCCCAGAATGGCGGATGCCCGTTCGGGCGGAGTCTTTTATACCGAGACACCGCCCAACGCGCCGAAACGCGCTCGCGAAACGCCCTTGTCGCGAGACATTGTGCGCGAGGCGTGAGCTCATTGGCCAACGCGAAAGGGCACTCGGCACCTGATTGGCTACGCTCCCCCCGCCTTCGCTCAGCCCCGTCGCCCACCTCGCTCCTTCTTCCGCCTTCTCCATGGACGCCCCCCCTCGTGCGTGCGCGTGACCGGAGAGGATAGCCCCGCCTCTTCCCTACTTCCACCACTTCCGCCCCCGGCGAGTCAGCCTCACCCTGGATTGGTGGAACGGACTCAGCGCATGCGCACGGACAAGGTCGCGGCCAAAATCGCCTTCAAAATTGATCGGGAAGCCAACTCCAAGGATGAAGTCGGTAAGTCGTCGCGACTCGTTTCGAGAGCGCTCAGTTTTAAGGCTGGGTTCGATTGTGACGCACTTCAAATTGGCTAACCCCGCCCCGCCCCGCCTGTTTGACGTTTCCGCCTTGACGTCAGCACGCGGCCCCCTGCGGCGCTGCGGGCGCGTCCTTGACTTTCAACTCTGGGCGTCTGGGAGTTTGCGCGCTCGCCTGGCCGCGCGGCCTGGCCCCGGACGTTCGTCAGCATGGCGGCCTCCTTACTGAATGCGCTGCCGAGGCGGGTTGCCAGCTTTTTACCTTTCCGGAGTGCCTATGGAGTTCAGGTAACTCCTCGGGGCGCACTTTGTGCAATCCTAACGTGCGTTACGTCTGTAGGTCGTCCTTCTACTGCCCGAAATGCAGGAGGTTGAGGGAGAGACTGTCCCACGTGCTCTAGGCGACAGTTCCTCGTCACCGCCTCCCCGCACTGCAATAGCACGGCCATTTGCAACCCCCAAACGAGGCCAAAGAGCCAGGGTTAGAGAGCGCCCACCCCCCAAGTCATCGTTTCTCTTCGAAAGCTACGGTTTGGAATCGACCCTTCGGCTCCATCACTTCTGCGAATGGTGTCTTAAGTCTCTGCTATTTTGAGGACCACCTCGTCCATTTCCCATTTATCCAGGATGCGTGCTCACGACCAGGGTGACCAGTTTCCCAACTGAATTTTTCACAGTCCCTTGAAAGGTTCATAAGGTTTTTTTGGATTGAGGGTTCCCTCCAGCCTAAGGTACTCACCAACTTGGAAGTTCTTGGTGGGGGCACGGTCAGATGGAAAGGCTTGCCCAGGTGCCACTCCCTAAGGTGGTAGTGAAGAGTGAAGAGATGGGGCCACCCTAGAGTTAATAACAGGCTTGGGAGCTTTTAAGACCCGCGTTAGGACTCCTTTGTTCTTTCTCTTGGAATGTTGTCCCCATTTTTATGAGGCTGGGCAACTCAGTGACTTGGGGTTGGATTGTGTTGGGGACTCACCTGTCATGTGAGTCCCCTCCCACCCAGATATCCTACTTCCAAGAGCCTAGCCATTCACCCCTTCCCTCTTCCCACCAGCTTCAATTCATTTTCCCAAAGTCGTTGACTGTCTTAGGTGTGCCAGGTTTTTAAAGCGTTTCTCAAATTAAGGTGGTCTTCTAGTCCACCTGTCCTAGTTATCCTCGCTTCTCTTCCTGGATCCGATTTGAAGATAGGGAGAATAGCTGGTTGTACGATTTCATTCCAACATAATGACTACTTTTTTGCGTAGTACTAATTTATTGCTGGCCTGGTCTCTGTGTGAGCATGTCCACAGTTTGTAGTAAATACTATGATTTTATCTGAACTATTCAGATTAAACAGAGGATGCTGGGGGGAAATGACTGCTTTACATATATGTATTCCATGAACACAATGGGTATGCACTCCTTTCCAAAATACAGGAAGTGAAACACTGAGCCTATTCTTGAACTCATGTGCTTGTACTTCCTTTATAGGTTTCTCTCCAGACACTCTGCACCAAAGCCCCCCCTGATGAAGAGTCTTTGCCCCCGGCTCCCGTCTCGCCTTATGAGAATGAACCCTGGAAATACCTGGATTCAGAAGGTATTTATTTCTAAAGACGGAAGGGAAAGTCAGGTGCGGTCTGTGACCTCTTTGTTTCCTAGAAATAACCCTTGCTGTTTCTCATCATAGAATACCAGAGCCGCTATGGTGCTCGCCCTGTGTGGGCCGACTACCGCCGCAACCACAAAGGTGGCATACCGCCACAGAAGACTCGGAAGATGTGCATTGTGAGTTTCTTGGAGAGGGCTGGGGAGTGGGGACAGAAGCCGAGGTAGCAGCATTCTTTCTGATGGGGCTCTGAACATCCTCACCTACCCATTTCTTCTCTCTACAGCGTGGAACTAAAGTTGCTGGGAACCCTTGCCCGATCTGCCGAGATCACAAGTTGCATGTTGACTTTCGGGTAAGGTGGATCCAGAGATCTTTTCTCCAGGATAAGGGTTTGGAGTTGCTTTGAATGTTAAGAGGAGCCCCCCTTGGTGCTCAGCTGCCCGAAAGGTTATCAGTGAAGACCCTTGGAAGATTGATAGGCCAGTTTGTCTCTGCTTTGGGGTGGGCCTTAGTTGGAATCAACTCCAGAAGAATGGGACTTTGGTGTTTTGCTTGCTCTGTTAAAGAGCTGCCCCCATACTCCTTTATCTGATGGCCCTGCAGTTCATTTTGTTTCTGGTGATAGGAGCACAGCCACTTTCATCCTGCCTTTTCTATAAAATTTACAGTGTCAACGTGCAGGCCAAAATGTTGCTTGCCTGTCATACCAGAACAGTGCCCAAGAGGCTCATGGCATTTATTAGCAAGTATAATGGACTGATGGTCTATTATGATGTCACTGTTCAGTGGAGTCCTAGCTAGGTAATGCTGCTGCAACAGAAATCCAGTAAGTCCTTAACAAACAATGGTTTTCTCACAGTTGAAGAGGCTAGAAGGTCTGCTTTTGGAGCACTGGGGAGAAGGCGTTCTCCCAAATGACTGCGGAGGAAAGCCCTAGACACATGGGTTTTGGTCCCTTGGAGAGATTCAGGGTCGTGGCATCTGTTTTACCTCTCCTCTGTGGGCTGGGGCCGGCACCTTCAGATCTCGAGATCGTTTCCTGATACACCTATGTCATTCTTGTTTCTTTAACATCAGAAAGCTCGTCCCAAGTACGATTATAAACCTAGGCATAGAGATGACAATTTATAATTTATCTTTGAGTAATTTCAGGGATTTCCAAGTTTGACTTGGATTTTTTTTTTTTTTGGCCTAAAGGGCTGACTTTAAAACTACTCTTGATGTGATTTAACTATGAAAACTTAATACATCTGTGAGAGCTCCCAATTAAAAACACACACACAAAATTAATCAAACAACCAGAATCAATCACAGTTTCTTTCCAGGCACAAAGGAAAAAAATGCAGATGATTAAAAGCCAAATCAAAACACATACACAGACACACCCCAAACAAACTTTACTCTTGTGGAAGAGAATCCTCTGCGTCTCAGTAGCGGAATACAGGGTGTGCACGTGAAATGGTTGGAAGACCAAAAGAAGAGGAGTTTGTTGGTGTTTTCAAGAGCGGGTTCAGCAAGTTGATGGGCAAAAAGTGGTGCGTGAAAGCGGACTAATGCCGGGAGAAAGGCCGAGGGGTTAAGGTCCATGGGGGTCTGGAGGCCATTACTGCCTGTCTAATGGTCTTGCTGCTCTCCCTCCCTCTCAATCTCTCCTCCCCTTGACAGAACGTGAAGCTCTTGGAACAGTTTGTGTGTGCCCATACGGGCATCATCTTCCATGCTCCATACACAGGTTAGTACAGCGTGCCCCATAGAGGACCACAGGACTGTGTCTTAGAATGCGTTAGCAGTCAGACATCAGGAATTTGCTTAGTGACTCATTTGGAGTTTAAAAAGTGTGATTGAACTTTATGGGAATCTTGGCTAAACAACTAAGATTGTGGATGGAAACCCCCCCCCCCCCCCAAGGCCAAAACCAGTCATTGTCTATTTTGGTAAATAAAATTATATTGTACTAAAGTCATTCTCACTTCTCTGCTGCAGAGCAGTGAATTTTTTTCCATTTTATTTTACTTTTTAAATTATTTTATTTTTTTAATCGTTTTATTGAGGGTTCTTACAGCTCTTAGAACAATCCATCCATCCATCCATTGTGTCAAGCACACAATGGACATATGTTGCCATCATCATTTCCAAAACATTTTCTTTCTACTTGAGCTTTTGATATCAGCTCCTCTTTTTCCCTCCTTCCCCTACCCTCCCACCTTCGTGAGCCCTTGATAATGTATACATTCTCTCTACTTTCATGTTTTACATGTCTGCTGCCTCCTTTCACCCAGTGCAGTGCATTTTCTCACACAGCTCCTTTAGCCATCGTCCTTGTGAGCCCCACCAATGACTCCCTACTGGGTCTGGTGGGACTGTGTACACCTACTTCCAGGTTACAGTCAGAGGGGAGGGGGTGAGACAGACATGGTAGGGCTTAGAGAGCCGAACACATTTGCTATCTGACCCTCTGCAGAAAACTTTGCCAACCTCTGCCCAAGAAAATGTGCCAAGAGTAATCTGAGTCTGTGGTGTATGGGAGTGACTGTGTGGTCTTTGGGGTTTATGTAGTCACTGTTTCTGAAGAGGGAGCTTTGAGTCAAGCTGTGAAAGGTTGAAAGGCTTCTCGCTGCTGTCTCAGTTTCCCTTTCCTAGTCTGGAAGCTTGTCTTTCATAATTGAATATTTATGCATTTGTCCAAGCTGGCCCCCAGTGAACCACACTTTCCCTTTAAACTGTGTTCTGCGGCCGCCCCGAGAACCTCCTTAACATGGCAGGCTCAGTGCCTTAGGAACCTAGTCCTGTTGTCACAAAAGTTGCGTGAGTAGGTGCCTTTTCCAGCCGTTGCCTCCCTGCTCTAGTGACGGCTCTCGGTCAGCTCTGGAGGATGCCCTTGACCTGAGCGTTGGCACCTGGGCAGTCTTCACTGGCCTTGGGATCTTGCTCCCCTCATCTCTGCTCCATTGTTGGGTTTCTTTTCTATCTCAAAAGAGATGCAAAGGCCTTCAAAGAGTTTATGGGAAAATCCCATTGCCTTCATTTATTCTTCTGCCAACTTTTTGAAGCCACTTAATAGACCCAACCTAAGCCCACCTCAACATAATAATGGCAACTCATTCTCAAATGGGATTATAAATACCGCAGCGGAGATTAGGATTTAGAACGTGTATGTGGCAGGGGAGGGGAACACAATTCAATCCGTAACACCTAGTCACCCTTCTCCGGTGTCTCGGCCCTCCACAATCTTCATTCTCACTCTAGGAGTTAAGAGCCTCTTCATTTGGCAGGTAGGGGCACAGAGCCTCCTGGAGGGCTCACAGAAATGAAGTCACTGGGGAAAGCCAGGTTTTCTAACTCTGTCCCTCTGTCATCGTAGCTCTAGCCTTTGGTTGACTGTGTCTTACAGAACCAGTGCCAAGTTTTGTCTTTCTTCTCCCTGCAGGGGTCTGTATGAAACAACACAAGATGCTGACCCAGGCCATCCAGAAAGCCCGGGATCATGGTAAGCATGAGAAGCGCCGTGCAGAATGTTTCTGGTAGGTGGAAACACTGACTTCAGGCCGGAGGGTGGATAAAAATACTCCCACTTACTCAGGACGGACTCATTGTTCACTCCATCGTCATTGCCCCTTCTCCTGAGTCCCTGCCTGTGCACAAGCATGGCATGGCAGAGATGTCTGATCTCTGCCATCACGAGAGCCAGAGAGAATCGAGATCAAGAGCCAAAGATGTACATCTATGAAGTGGAGATCCAATACATCTCCTTGGACACGCACTCCTACCTTTTTACCAATCCTGGTACAGCTGCCCTTCCATGGCACTCCACCCCCTACTGACGTCAGTGCCTCATGGCCGTGGTCACACACAACTCACAGCAATATTTACAATTGTGGGATTTATTAAGAAAGAAATGGGTTATCATTTAGAATCAAGAAGGGCTTGGGATACAGTCCCTTCTCGGCCATGTTTGCAGGCAAGTCTCTTTCTGGACCCTTGGGCTCTCTGGCCTCTTCGGCCTGGCCTGCAGCCTGCTTGGGCAAGTTAAAAGCTCTGTATCTCCTCTAGTAAGTGCCCAGAAACACCATACTCCCCCAGTAAGCCTCAGTGTGAAGGTGCTCAGTTCTTTCACTTGTGGGCCAGTGCTGCCTCCTGGTTCTGCTGCCTCTCATCTTCTCCCAAGTCTGGGAGGCTCATAGTGCTGAGATTCAGGTCCATTCCTGCTTCGTCTTCCTTGATTGTAGTGATGTGCCCCTGCCTGCTTCTGAGACAGCTCATTTTAAGCCTAGTGGGATAGCAAAAACTGACCTGTCTACTCAGTAGTGTGCCGCACACCTTGTTTTCATGGTCTCCTCTCCAAACAGGCCTCACGAAGCTTAATTGGGTCATTAGCAAGGAATCCAATCCCCTTGGTTATCTTGCACAGTCCCACCCATTTGGGGATAGTCACAGAGATGATACCATGGAGTTAATACTGACTCATAGCAACCCTATAGGACTGCTCCTGTGAGTTTCCGAGACGGTAACTGTGTCCGGGAGTGGAAAGCCCCAACTTTCTCTTGTGGAGTGACTGTTGGTTTCGATCCACTGACTTTGTGATTAGCAGCGCAACTCCAGCTGATAACTACTACGCCACCAGGGCATCCAGAATGTACACGAGCTATATTAAGTAGTTCACTGCACTGCAGTAGGTCATGCCCTTGCCCCCGTGCTCTTCCTCTTTTCTTTCCCTTCTCTGCCCTCTTACTAATCCCAAGGCCAGGAGATCTGGTGGCAGTACCCTAGTGAATTACTCATTGGGCTGCTAACTGCACGTCAGCAGTTCGAAACCACCAGCTGCGTCCACGGGAGAGAAACAAGACTTCTACTCCCATAAAGGTCCCGGCCTCAGAAGCTCACAGGGGTGGTCTCACCCTGTCCTGTCGGTCACTACGCGGCTGAATCGACTCAGTGGCAGTGAGTTTGGTTTGGGTGGACCCTAAGGCCAGAACGAGACCATAGGAGGCTCTTCATGAAACGTTGGCCCTGGGCTCAGTGGCACCTTTGCACGAACCTGGGACAAGATAATGGGAGCTCCCGTTTCATGGCCCCGGTGCGGGGCTTCACAGCTTGGCAGGCAGCTCAGGCCCTTTCAAATCACAGTTGCCCTTTGGGCCCTCTTCATATGTCAGTTTTCTTATTCCCTGTCTCCTCCTCCCCTCACCGCCTCTTCTTATTTCCTCTAGGTCTCCTCCGTTCCAACATTCCCCAGGTTGAACCCCGTGACCTGGATTTCAGTACTTCTCACGGAGCTGTGAGTGCTACTCCACCAGCCCCCACCCTGGTTTCAGGAGACCCCTGGTACCCGTGGTACCACTGGCAACAGCCTCCAGAGAGAGAACTCTCCCGCCTGCGCCGGCTCTACCAGGGCTATCTCAGAGAAGAGACTGGCCCCCCGCCTGAGACAATGCCCCAAGTGCCCCCCCCAGCTCCGACCGAAGCCGCCTCCACGGAGCAGATGGAACCCCAGAGTGCTCCCTAGAAGCTGCAGTTGACTAAGGGGAGGCTCTGAGACTGGGACCGTGTCCCCTGAACAGTGGTGGCTGCTTTGTGGCCAGTGGCAGGCCCTGGGCCAGAGGAAGGGGGGGGGGTGTTGAAGGGATGAGATGCCCCCAAGACTGGAGGAGGGGCTTCTCCATGGTGAAGAACTGGGTCGAGCATTCTGTTGCTGGCAGACTGCCTGCTCAGCTTCCCTATAATAAAGCTGTTTGTCTCTCCTGTCCCTGTCTGCCTTTGAGCCGCCTGCAGATGAATGCCATCGAGGATGGGGGGCTTGGTGGTTTCTCCCGTGTGTAAAGGAATGCGGTGGCCTGTGGGGGAGGAGGCTGCCACACCGCCTCACTGGGACCTCTTCAGGGTCCAGGGGCAGCCTGGCCTGGACACCTGGCATGCTGCTCCAAGGACTGTGGTCCCCTGCTCCCATTGTCCATGTACACGGAGGGCAAAGGGTTAGCATGTTGACAAACCAGGGGAAGATGTATCGCTACGGCATCCACTGCTCCGGGCGGCGGCCTTGCTAAGGGGGCGGTGGGCGTGGTGAGGACCGGGGTCTCCAGGACTGGCTGGCAAAGGGTGGGGGCGGGTGCTGAGACCTGGGAAATAGTTTGGGGGGCAGGGCGGAAGTGACGTTGGGTGGGGCGGCGCTGGCCACGCACAATGGGCTATGGAGTTCCCGTTCGATGTGGACGCCCTGTTCCCGGAGCGGATCACGGTGCTGGACCAGCACCTGCGGCCCCCGGCCCGCCGGCCTGGAACTGCAACGCCGGCCCGGTGACCCCTCAGGCCTGCCCCACGACCCCTTCCTCCGGCCCAGGGACCACGCCCCTCTTACCGCCCGTCGCGCCCCGGGCCGCTCTCAGGGTGACATTTGCCCTCGCCTTCAGGGTGTATGGGGCCCGAATCGCCCACCTTTCACCCCTTTGCCCAGTGTGTGATGCCACCCGAGGATGTGGTTGGCCAGCCCTCCCGGCTTCCCCCAGTTCAGCTCTAGGGAGGAGGGGTAGTACCACACTGAAAGGAGGTGTGGCAAAAGTGTGGGGGCCCGAGGAGGTGGGGTGGCAGCCTCAGCGCCAAACGGGGCAGCCGTTGCGTCCGTCCGAGATGAGCCAGGACGCTGACCAGACCTGACTGACTCTCTCTCTCTAGAACGGACCTGCAGCACCAGATCATGACCGTTGTTGACGAGCTGGGCAGGGCATCTGCCAAGGTACTGGGGAGGCTGGAACTGGGGTGGGGCTGGGGGTCTTGGGGGGACAAAGGAGGCCCTAAGTTCTTTGGCAGGAGCCCCGGTGGCATAGTGGGTTAGCCTTGGGCTCCCAACCTTGAGGTTAGCAGATTGAAACCACCAGGTGCTCCGTGGGGGAGAGGCAAGGCTTTCTCCTCCCATCAAGGTTTTGATAGTCTCCGGAGCCCCCGGGGGTGGCTCTCCACCCTGTAGGGCCCCCTGTGAGGCACAGTCTACTCGATGGCCGGGCGTCTGAGTCTGAGGTCCTTTGGCAATCACTTGCAGAAATCCCATCCTCTTGGCAGGCTCAGCACCTTCCTTCCCCCATCACCAGTGCATCGCGGATGCAGAGTAACCGTCATGTCATGTATGTGCTCAAAGACACTTCAGCCCGACCGTGAGTGCTACACACTCTTCTGTTCTATACCTAATTCCCTCCTCGCCCCCCCACCCCCAACCCCCCTTGTTTCATTCAGCCTCTCCCAAGCAACTGCTACTAGCTTGTCCCCCTCCTACAGGGCTGTAAAAGGTGCCATTGCTGGATTTCTCAAAGTTGGATACAAGAAACTCTTTGTTCTGGTAAGCTTTGATTCCTGAAGACAAACATATTGGGGGTTGGGAAGCGGCCAAGCTGCCTGGGCCCTAAAACATGTGTATTGTGCTTTACCCGTTAGGACGACCGCGAGGCTCACAATGAAGTAGAACCACTCTGTATCTTGGACTTCTATATCCACGAATCACTTCAACGTCACGGCCATGGGCGAGAACTCTTCCAACACATGTTGCAGGTGTCACTGATCTCGGTCCCAGGGTCCATCTATGTGGTGGGTGGGGGGCGGCTGTTGAATCGATTCCCTCTCAGTGGCCCCCTGCACAGCACAAGGAGACCCTGCCCGGTCCTGCGCCATCCACGAGTGTTCCCAGGCCCAAACCCACTGTTGCAGCCACTGTGTCGACCCATCTTGTTGAGGGCCTGCCTCCTGTTCGCTGCATCTCCGCTTGACCTAGCATGATTTCCATCCATAATGAAGAACCAAGGCCCCTTTGGCTTGAGTCCTTCCAGAAGTCCTGCCTAGCCCCTCCCTCCATGTCCCCCTATTCCTTTCCATGGCTCTCCCTGCCTCTACATCCCCACACCTTCTACCCTGAGCCTCCTGTCCCTTGCAGAAAGAGCGAGTGGAACCACACCAGCTGGCTATTGATCGGCCCTCCCAGAAGCTCCTGAAGTTCCTGAATAAGCACTACAGCCTGGAGACCACAGTGCCACAGGTCAGAGGTCCCAGAGAGTAGAGCTCCACCAACCGTGCTCCTGAAATGTGTTTATTGTTTGGCAGTCAATGACTAGCACCTTCCAGGAGCTCCTGGTTGCCCAGTGTAGCAGATTCCGTTTCTGCCACGAAGCGCTTTGCTCGCCTGGGGGCACTGGCTTGCGTCCCCACGCCATTTCGTTCTCCGATTTTGATTCTGCATCATGGGCTGTTGTCTCCACGACATCAGTTCTAGCACAGCCACTGTATCTTCACCGGGAGCCCTGGTGATATAGTGGGTGAAGAGCTGAACTGCTAACCACAGAGTAGGTGGTTCGCTCACCGGCTGCTCCATCGAAGAGAAAGGACGCGGTCAGCCCCCATACACGCTTACGGTCTTGGGACGCTACAAAGCACTCTGTCCTACAGGGTCCCTGTGAGTCAGATTGGTCTTCGGGGAGCTTCGGTCTATGAGGGAGAAGGTGGTCCTGCTTGTATGCAAGTGTAGTGAAATAGGAACAATGTTATTCACACCCACACCCCAAGCCCCGAGGGTTTATTGGGCTCCTAGGACAGTCGTAAGCCCTAGGAGTACTTGACTTTACAAAATGGGACACGTTCCTGCCTTTCAGGAGCGTATGTTCCGGTGGGGAGACAGACGAGAAGCACAACAAGCCGGTGTGTGCTACGGTGGGTGATCCGTGCTCTGTAAAGTGAGGCCAGCTACAAGAAGGTGTTCCTAGACAGGCCAAACAGTTCCGTGCTCTGCTACTCACTGGGACATTGGAGGTTCAGATCTCTCCCTAGGGGCCTCAGAGGGAAGGCCTGGGGGGCCAGTGCAAGCCCTAAGGTGGGCAGTTCTACACTGACATACGTGTACTCACGGGAGACAGAATGGATGGCAAGTGCTTAGTGAGTGGTTATGAGGGCTGGGGTGGGGGGGGCATTGAGAGTTGAAATGGGTTCATCATGAGAGACTGAGAAAAGGTCATGTGAGCAATACCTTATAAGTAAGACGAGCCAGGCATCATCTACAGAGAAAGAACCCCAGGCCGAGGAAATGTGATTGCAAAGTCCTTGAGGTAGGAACGTGGAGGGCAGTGAGGGCAGTGCGGGAGGAGACAAGCCGAGGACGGGAGAGGAGGAATGTGGGCGCATCACCAGCTGCTATGAAGACATTGGCGAAACCATTCCCAGGGAGAACGAGCGCCTTGGCGGAGGTTTGAGCAGAGGGCTAACAGGGCGGCCTGTTTCAACCAGATCACTTTGGCAGGAAGCGGAGACTGTAGATAGAAGCAAGTAGACCAGTTAAGGAATTTTTTTTTTTAAATCATTTTATTAGGGGCTCATACAACTCATCACAATCCATACACACATCAATTGTGTAAAGCACATTTGTACAT